GCGGCGCTCCGCGCCGCCGTTTTTGAGATATTCGCGAAAAACCACAAGGGGGGTGTTCAAACACCCCCCCCAGCAGGGCGCGGGTTAACATCGGTTTATAAGTAAATATGACACACTGAAGCTGCAAATTGTACACATGACCCCTCTCTGTGCCCCTGACGTCATATCAGGTCATTAAAGGTCACCAGCAGTTTTTACTATAGCTTTTGATAGAGACGTGCTAGAGCGGTGATAACATGTCAGATGTTTAACAATATACATGTCAGATGTGTTCAGCTCGACGATACGGATCGAGTGATATGCAACATGACTCTTTCCGGTCAGGTCATGACCTTGACCTGAGGTCAAATTTTCAAAATGACCTTTCCAGGTCAACTTATAGTTCATTCGACGCTTCTCGACGAGAGTAACACGATGCTGGTAAAATTGATGTCGTGACTTATTTGAGTCAAAAGCAATTACCGAAAAACTTTTTTTTTGTAAATACGGCTTTTTTGGAGTTTCCCCTCTAGAGGCTAATCCGTTGACCTGAGGTCAAATCTGAGAACATTCTTCAGATAGGCCTGTAAAAGAGGTATCGAATGCGATCTTCCCCGGCGCTGTAGCTCTATTGGTTCCCGAGTTATGCGCTGGGTGTTTCGAAAATTGTTGAAATATATAAAATTTGACATTTGATGACCTCTGGTTACCTGACCTAAAAAATGACCGAAGTATTTTCAATTTTTATTTACCCTTTTTCGAATGCCGCTTACCGCGTGTCGCTACGTGGCCTAGGAGCCGAATTAGACGGGGAGGGGTGAAAACGCCCTCCTCCCCCCCCCCCAGCACGACACGGGAAATTCAGACCACCAGCACGGCGCAGTAAAAAAAAGAATATAGAATAAAAACACTTAAAAAAACATATAATAAATCAGCTGCATTTCGTCCTTACCTCGACTGCGAGATGTATTTTCACAGATTGTCTTCATAAAGTCACGTAGGCTGGTCGTACCTGGTGGCAGGTTTCCCAGCGATGAGCTCAGCTCTCTCTTTATCTCTCTCAGTCCATCCATGGCATAAAGATGGATTCTGTTTGTGTTTCTTAGGAAAATATTGCCTTTACGCTGTGTCAGAAATATCAAAGAGTGCAATAGGAACAAAAACTTCGCTTGCGAAAGTCACAGACCTAAAAACACACACTTAAATGCCCGAAAATGCAGGCCCCGAAACGCAGTCAACTTCACCTCACAGTTACAAACTGTCATGGCGGCGAGAAAATGGCAGTTATGCTCTTTCCGGGAATCATAGTGACATAATTGGAGAATCATGAGAGAGTCAAATGGGAATCGCGAGACAGTATTGATTCTTCAATGATTCTTGTAGCTGAGAATCATTGGAGAGTATTACAGTTCTAATTGGGTGATATCTACGTTCTATCGAGAGGATCAGCGCCACTGGTATACTATGGGAGTATTACAGACATATTTGGGGACTCTGATTCCCTCTGTGATGCCTGCATAATCGAAGGGAATGAAAAAATGGGTATAATATAAGGATCAAAAGGGAATCATGCGGGTATAAATGCCCATGACCAGGGCATCAGGAGAATCATTTTGGTTTTCAGTGTACACTCCGGCATTCTATGTCATTGTGGCTTACTTGAACATGTATTATGTGAATCAAGCTCGATACATAATAAATGTAGATATAAATTGCGATGTTTTTTTTTGCGCAGGTAAATAACTTTACTTGTGTCCGGTATGCTTCTGAAGTGGAACGAAAACGTTTGATGTAACCGACTAGATATATATGAACGTATGCGCCTAGACGGTTATATTTTCAATCGTTTCTCTCAAAATTAATATTTTTTATTGCTTCTACAACTTTTTTGACATCAGTTTTTACTTTGTATCATAGCTGTCACCTCTCACGCCTGTGTCCATGTTAAAAATGCCGTATTTTGTCAATTACACCGCACGTTCATAGCCCAAATGGTAGCTACATTATAAGTTCGATGAGAGAAATAATTTTTGGACTGACAATGGCGGGTTGCTCCCCTGCCTGACATAAAACTCCTTCTTTATTGCAATCAGTTAATGATGCATTCATACTGTCGTGATACAATAGCTACACCATTATTCTATTTGCGCCCCCCTGGCGCAATTGCCATGGGCGCAATTAAAATTGAGGTACTTTTTAATAAAAGCGTAGAAGTTACCATAAAGATGCTAAAGGATGTTTACTGTTTCAGTGAAATATAATGAAAAAAGGACTTTTCTTTCCAAATATCACTCTCAAAATCACACAAGTATCGCCTATTTTTATAGCCAACGGTTCAAAATGCTGCAAAAAAGTTAAGAAAGCGCCGTAATATCTTCGATGGCGTAATGAGCCTTGCTGATTGGCTTCATCGGAGAGCTTGGGCCATAAAAGGAACTATCCAGTGGTGAAAATAATGTTTTTGAAAACAAAATGCTGAACATGCCATTGAATTCGTGGGAATGTGGGTGGGCGCAATTGGTTAGGAGGGCGCAATACACCCACTTTCCCCTACAGTTTAAGGCTCGACATTGTGTTGTCTACGATTAGACAGCTGATAACTCATTCCCGTACGTCGTATGGTCGTAACACTATAATGACCTTTGCTTATTGTCACAAGTGCGCCGCATTCGCGATTGTTGCCCGACGCCTGTTTGCAGGTGAGCCCACTACAGTTGTTATACATAGGTATCTAAAAACCGAAAAACTTTTAGGCGAAAAAGGCACTATTCCAGGCCCATTTTTGATTTTTTTTGCGATATTAGGTAAAAACAGAAGCTTCTTATCCTAGGAAAAATAAAACGGGAAATCTTTCAAAGGTGGCACACTACCTTTAAACACCCAGTCACCGATGTAAACATGGTGGTTGTTGATCTGCGCCTGGATCGGATAGCGAGAGCAGTGGTGCCAGAAAGTAAGCCATCTTAACCCTCGCCCTTCCTCCGCTCCGTTCAGCCATCACAATAGTAATCTTGATCACAATAAGCCCGACCCGGCGTGTAGGCCGGAGCGGCGACCGCAGGTCTTTCTGCTGTATTTATCTGACCCGTGACCGCAGGCGAAGGGCCGCGCGAGGCAGGCCGCTTTCTCCATCCAACCAACAGTCGTCTCTATCCAGTGGGGCGTATCTTAGTGCGTGGTGTGTTTGCATGAATAGCGCATTTTTGCGAAGTCACGTGCCGTTTATTGAGGTAGGATGTCACGGCGTCGTGAAGCCGTCGGAACACGACACGAATTCTTAGTAACCATCGAAATCTGTAAACACTGTTCCCTTTCCGTTTTGTCTGATGTTTCGAAATCATTCTGCAATTTAGTTTGCGGGCTGTTACAGAGAGGATTGGTTCACCTCATGTCACTTGTAAGCACAATTCAAAGCCATGGTTATGCCCGCGCTTTGTATGTAAGTACAAGACACTTGTCATGCACTAACTAGAGACAATAACCACGTATCTCGACACTCGTGCGTTGGGGGAAGGGGGAGGGGTCCCAGAGGGCGTGGGACAAAGTTACCTATACTGCGCAGTGCGCACTATAGCATGTCACATGCATCTTGCACAAAGCGGTATGCACGTTGTTGCTAGAGGCTCGAGTTAGAGCACGTGGTTGTGCCCGAGGCCCTGCCCAGTGCCCAGCCGAAGTCAATCAATCAATCAATCAATCAATTTATTGAAACGCAGCAGTTACTTAATACTTCAGTAACTGCTGCGTTTGGGACTCAGCCGGGTACAACCGCGGTAAACTCCCATGAGCCCCCACGTCATACCGCGCTCGTTCCCGCTGCCACGTCACGGCCACCGAATATCAACGAGTCCCTCCTATGGCTTGGCGTCCGCTGGGCGTCCAAGCAAGGCTTCTCTGACCGGGGAGGGGCAGAGAGGGTGGCAAGGTCACTCACCCGACCACCCCGTCCGAGTCTGTGCACCCTGCCCGCGGGCGCCCCGTGTGCCGAGCTGAACAGGTGGTCCAGCCGCCCCTCGCAACAGTGCAGCCATCGCCGGCGGCCAAAGACGGGTGTGCAGTTCTCAGCACTGCTCCGCGCCGGCCTGTAACTAACCGACCGACCCCGCTCCCCCGCCGGCCTCTAACGTGGGGCGATCTTCTGGCGGTCGGTGATGCGCCGGCACCCGGGGCGCTCTCTGCACGTGCAGCGGCAGGCGGCGCGGTGGCGACACGGGCGACCCGGTGACCTGGACTGCGCAGTGCGCGCTGACCCGCGCTGGCCGGCCCATGTGGAGCACGTGCTGCTGGCTGAGCGTGGACACTGCAGCCACGGCAGTGGGCTGATCGTCACAGACTGTGGCGAGGAGACAGTCCGATGGTTATGCTGATGTCTGTGCCACCTGGAATAGCACCGGCCTTGATTTCACTTTCGCTCCAAAGATAACCTCGTTGTTCCAGCGCTTAGAAATGGCACGGTTTGTTTGATGCCTGCATATTGGCGTTCAAGAAAGTCTTTCCGTTCGGTGTTGACGCTTATTGTCGCTGATGTTCACGAACAGTTCTTAAACGTCCAGTTATAAAGAGCTGTGCAATGCTCAAGCGCTTCTATGGCACGAGTATCATCCGAGCAGCAGCCGTTACTGCACGATATGTCGAATACAGAGCAAATAAGAAAATATTCTTGGCGTCAAATGAGTCAAAGTTCGCAGGAAAACAGCTGTGTGAGTGAAGAACTTACATTGAACGTCCCCGCAATTAATGCGCCGTCCTGTGGATGCCTGTTGTACAACATAAATAATTGCTGTCGTCATGACTCAGTGGATCGGACGTCGGTATACCGTGGTCTGTCTGACCTGTGTTCGTCGGGTCCTTCGGCAGACGGTCGGAGCCATGCTGGCTGTCGGTCGGTGTCCTGGTGTGACGTGTGCGTCACGCCCTTCCACAGGGTGTTGGAGATGCTGCCGGCTGCCGCTAAGACTCAGCTGGGCGGCTGTCGGGCGGTATACCGTGGTCTGACGTGTGTTCGTCGTGTTCTGCCACAGGCTGTCGGAGATGCTGGCGCTGATGCTGCTCACCGTCACCGTGTTCCTGTTCGTCCACACCAACGACCTGGCTGCGCAGCTGGAGTCGGCCAAGCAGCAGCAGCAGCGGCTGGCGCTCACCGGCGCCCGCAGCGACGGTAAGACAACCGGCTATCCCACCACTGCGCTGACCGGTCCACACATGAGGGTATGGAACCTCACCGACGCGCACAGAGATAACTCACTGTCTCACTTCTGACCGGAGGCCGGAGGCACACGGGGACGGGTCGGTATTTGTAATGACTTTCTGATTTCACCGCGCCAACGAACTTAGCTGTTGTATCCTAAACCGAACTGAACGCATCCACAGACGGTATAGGAGGCCTTATTATCTCACTGCTGAGCGGCGCCTTCAGTGACGTTATTGCAGAATCATCAGTTGCTTTCTATATATCAAGTAACAAAATGTTCTTATGAAAGAGTAACAGCTTTTATGTTGTTAAGTAACCATATTATCTGCTCTCTTGGCCGTGGCAATAAGTAATATTTATAAGCTGTTGATTCAAAGCGACAATTTTTTAACCGTGAGTGTGGGTGCAAGAAACAATCAATACATTGAGTTCGTCTTTCGCCTCGCAATCTGCAAAGTGGGAGCGGGAGTCTGCAATATTTCATATCATGGCTCTAGTGGCTTCATTGAAATCTGAGATGACCTGCATTTACCGCATTTTATTGCATGAAAAACGCTTTTTCGTCACTTTCGTAAAAGGAGGAAAATCGTGCCGCCGCAGCACCACTTTGCTCCGGAGACACCATTGTTCTGCAGTATGCAGTATGGAGGCCGAGCAAAACACACCGCTTCCTGCAGCCCATGGTTTCACTTTCCTGTCTGTGTCAGCCGTGCATCATCCAGTAACAGCTGGATATTACCGGACATCGAAACGGGAAACCGAGACACAACCGGATCGCACCGACCTATGACGGGCTGCGATCATACTGAATAAGAACCCACGGGTGAGAATCTGTCACTGAACAGGGTACTTACTATATCAGCTGCACTTGGCCTCGCTTTTTCCCCGGAACATTAAAATGGCGCTTTATTGACTATCGGTGATTTGATGGTATTTTCTTGTGCAATGTTATTCTTGCATCGATTATCCGTTTATCTTTCTTGTTATTTTACGGTGAGGCTTGGGTTGGCGTTTTATTCACTCCTTATTATGCTGTATTGGCCCTCAAAGGTGATGAACAGCCTCGCGATTAGACGTTCAAAACAAGGGTGGACATGTAGGTAAACTCATCGACCTGTTACATCCGGTAGCTGCCTCGTAGCGAAAGGTAGCCTGTTCCAGTGATCGCGTCATATGTAGCTATAGCTTCGTCTGATCGGCGGCACTGCCGACGGGCCGTTATACACTCGTTGCCGCGCTCCTATTACCGTAGTGGGTGTGCGCTGTGACGTGGCAGTTGCCTGTTCGTCGAGCTCTATCGACAAACAGTGACAAACATCGTGACGGCCCATCGCCTCGCCACGCAGAGGTCAAGGAGCGCAGTTTGTGAACGGTGCGAGCGATTCGTCAAACAGCCGTTCATTGAATGATCGGGAATGTTGACTCACCAACGAGGTGATAGTTGTTAAAGCCAGTGCAATCGATTAGAGAAATTAGTATGCAGTGCATTATTGCATGGACGCTTCTGCTCTTTATTCGATGTGCTCCTTAGGTGTCGACTGGATCGATTAATAAGTATTTTATTGAAAAAGATAAGTGACAACGCAGCTCGAATCCATTGCATGCGCTATTACGCCGGCATGGCAATAATTCTTTACAATCCAAAGCAACCAGCCTTAGTAAGTAGGTACGAAAAGACGCATCTATAGCCCGCATATTGACCAATTGCCACAATACCTATCCCTGCTGTGTGGGTACATCGCATATGTTTAATGTGTTAGGTCAACTAAGTCCCTCGTGATTCGTCAGCCTAAGAGAATAGAGGGGGCCGTGGATGGCTGGTGTTTGAGGCGTGTTCGGAGAGCCTCGTGACGTGGAAGGCCGGCCGCAGGGTATTTGGGACATTCTGCCATGGATATAAATGTCATCCAATGTCCATTCTGAGGGCTGCTGGCTGTTTGATCATCCGATGGTAAATTTGGATTCAAGATTCTACAGGGCTCTTTCAGTCTGTTTATAAAATTTCAATCAGGACTGCGTTATGAGAGGATTAAGGGGACATATGTATGGACTGATCAAACAATCGACTGGTGACTGCGTGTGTTCAAGGGCCCAGAGGCGAAAGACTGGACAAAAAGTCTAACAAAACATTAGTTTTCGGCTCTTTGTTCCAAACAGGGCTGAATTGACACTATTGTTTCAGTTTTTAACACGGAAGTTATGTATCTACCAGCACACATGGAAGGGTCACAGCTGCTACCGACATCCCAGTCTGTGAGTCTGTGTTCCCGGAAGTCAGTCCCGCTGGGACAATGTCCTGTCCCACTGGACACTGGACGGGACAGGAGTGGGGCGGGGTGGGATTGGGCGCGGTCCTTCCGGTAGGGACGCCCTGTGAGCTCCTCTGTCGTTCCACCACAGCGGTATTCTATGGTTCCCCTCCCCTCCCGACACACACACACACGCACGCACCTCAGTCACGGGTGGGTGCTCCATGCTGGCGTTCCCCGCCCTCGAATGTCGAATGTTAACTGGTAACCGGTTGTTAAGCTATTTTGGTTTGACCGGCGACGGATGTGGTCATTTTTTTGTGGATTTTGTGGAAAAATAGCCAAGAAGCGCATGTTAAATCAGGCAGGCCGCTTTGGTTGTTATTCCTTTTTATGCTTGACCTTCGTCCTCGTGCATAATTAATTATGTTTGCCAGCTCCCTTCAAAATTACGTCGGTGCAAAGAGCTGAAATACATAATATTCTTATTCGGCTTTCAATTCAAAAATACCAATGGGGCATAGAGAACATGGTGTTGTATGTCGACCACCTGTCCACACATATCTAGGCTGCCTAGCTCTGCTGTAGAACACATCAGTGGCACCGTGCGTGTCTGCCGATCCCAAAGCCACCATCCCCGACTCTTTGTCAGCATGCCTTCCCCGTCCCCGCCCCTCACTGACCGCTCATTGATTTCACGGGTCAGTTCACGGGGCGCTGTCCACCAGTCGTGTCCCGGGGCCCTCAATGACGCCCGCGGCGCGGTGCCAGGCACCCCCGGCTCCGCACACCTCGGCCGTTCGAACGTGGCAGGTCAACGGAGCGCCCGAACACATCACGGGCGCAACGGCACCGGTGCAGGTCCTATTAGAGCCGGCAGTACCATGCTATAGGCCGCCAGTTCCGACTCGCCAAGTGCCGCTTTAAAGTTTTTGTTGTCATTGCTCTATTTCGATATGCTGGACTCCGAAATCACAATTTTAAACGATTTCCTTTTTTACCTCCAGTGAGTAATTAATCATTTCACTGATATCCACCCGTTGATGAAACGTCCTTACAGCTCAGTGTTCACTGTTCATTGCTACGTACATACGACATGACCTCCTTTCTATAGCAGTCCGGCGACCGGGCCTGTTGCTGTGTCTGTATAGTAACAGCTGCTTTCTGTATCAGTATGATAACCATCCAGTCGATGTTGTCCATGTTTCATGCCATTACATAAACGGGCCGACTGTGCAGCATTGTCAAACATCGGTAACCTGCATTTCCCTTTCTGAAGCGATAACAGTCCACCCATCCAGTGAAATGGCACATCTGATGAAGATCCTGGGGAGATCGGCTCCCGCTCACCATCTCCCTTTCTAAGTTAGCATGGTCCACTTGCATTGCTGTGACTGATTGTGAAAGACAGTAAAGCTATGGCAGGCCTTGTAAGTCACGATCGAAATCAGACTCAGGATGCATCCATCAGCTCGATGCACAAAGAAAAGAAAGGGAACCGAAGCCTGCGCATTCTCTTTTGGCCGGGAAAAACGGTGTACGATGTCACAGATATATATAGACGTTGCGATGAGATGCCTGATGCATGTTGCATGCAACACTGACGTGAAGCGGCACTTTGCCTTCTATCGTGAAACAGCTGTTGTTTATTTTATTGAGGTTGGTATAGACAGTGGCGGATCCAGCTCAGAGTTTTTTTTTGGGGGCGGGGGGGGGGGCAAACCATAACAATTTATCGATTCTTTCCATGCCTCGTCCATAGGCGTAATGTTAAAATTATGCCGTTTGGGAGGGGCAAATGCCCATTTTGCCCCCCCCCCCCTTGGATCCGCCACTGGGTATAGAAATACCAAATTAATCAAAATTCTTATGCTCAGACAAAAGCTAAACATTGTAATTAGGAAAGAATAGGCGCACTGTCACAAGATGCGTGTTCTCTTTCCACTGCGCGTTGAAGTCGCCTTGCAGTGCAGTGCTGACTATCTGGCTCGAGCCGTGGCACCTAGTGGTACTAGTTAACTAGTGCCACTACTGGCCTTGAGCTAGTACCACTACTAGCCTTGGGGGCTAGTACAATTACTGGGTATGGATTAGTAGGCAGTGGCTAGTTACCTTACCAGGCAGGGGCTATTATGACACCTAGTAGACGCACTACCCACGCTATTTACGTGCGTGTTGTCAAACTAGGTGGAGCACGGTGGTCGTATGCATACGAGGCACAGCCTTGTCGAACAAGCTTGTTACTCGGCAACTAGCCTAAAATTAGCCAAATTTACACGCTCCTGCAATGTTATTTTTGCGCTGAGAATTCCTCTACGAGGGGCTTGTAAGTTTTTTTTACAGTGTGTGCTTAGTTCCCTCGGTCGTTCCGCAGCCCCGTCGGGCAGACACACGGCCATGCGCTTCCCGTGCACGCTGGGAAAGACGTGCACCTAGTTCGGGTGGGCTACTCGCACCGCCCACCGTATGGGTCTCTGTGCCGTTATAAAGTGATTTTCACATCACTCTGAACCGTCATTGTCTAATGACCCGTGACGCTGCCTCCAGCCAGCGGCTTCCGGTCCACAGCTGATCATCAGTCGTCTTATCACGCACTTTCACCTCCGTGCGACTTAATGGTCACATCGTGCGAAATTTGGTTAGTCCCAATTGTTTAGCGGACCCTTCTAATTGTGCCCATTGGCCCGGCAAGACTGCCCGCCGCCCGTCCCGGTGACAGGCGACTCTATTGTCTGCGCAGTATCCATTGTACGGGCTGGAAATTACACACGGCTTGCCTCATGTGCTAGGTTTAGAGCAGCTGCTGTCCCTTGCAGCGGCCCACTCGTGTCGACACGTTCACTGGCAGGGGATAGCCTCACTGCGGTGTAGTTACTACTCGACGCTTCACTGACTGTGCCAACTGCCATCACTGTTTGATAGTTTACTGAAGGCATGCACCGTTGCTTCCCTCCAGGTCACGGACTGATGCTCATTTGTAATGTTGAAAATAAATGTGTATGTATGTATGTATGTATGTGACGTCAGGAGGTCACTGACGCTGACGTTACTGCTCGCCGGGTCACTGACGGTAGTGAGTGACGTCAGATGCTCGCTGGGTCACTGACGGTAGTGACGTCACTGTTCACCGGGTCACTGATGGTAGTGACGTCACCGTTCACCGGGTCACTGACGGTAGTGACGTCACCGTTCACCGGGTCACTGCCCCTCCAGTTGCGCCACGGTTGAATTCACCGGATGGGAGCTGTCTGTCTCCACGCATGCCTACTCACGATCTCATGATGAGCTCCGTTCCGGGCCAGTCAGTCGCTAGATGCCGAGCTCACATCTGCTCGATATGGCCCGTACCTTACCGCAAACGTTTAGCTCAACGACGCCGATAGTGGCCGTCGGAGTCACTCGGAGGAGGTGAATGATAAGCCGTTTCCCAGCACAGTGCGCTTCCATAACAACCCACAACTGTAGAGAAGCGGGATCTCTGAACCACCAGCTGGTGCTGTTCCGGGCCGGAGCGGGGGACTTTGGGAGTAGGTGGGTACAGGGGTGACACCTGCTTGTCTGGTGCTGTGTATCTTGCTGTAATATGTGTCACCCGGGACGGATAACACGTGCAATATGAGCGTCCAAAGGGTGTGGGCGATGTCGCCCCCGCTGCTAATAGGCCACCTCCGGCAACCTCTAATTAGGCGATACGAGACAATGTCCCCGGAAACGTTTACCCACCGGCCCACTCTCAACACTGCGACTCCGCCTACGGTTGTAATATGCAGCGGAGAAACACCGTAGAGCGGGACTCCATGGATGCTTACAAATATAGGCATTATTATTGCACAAAACTATTGCAATGTTGGATGTATAGTATGTTGTGAATTAGCAATATCCCCAACGACCGACCGAATGGATGAACGAATGAATGAATGAATTAATGAATGAATGAATGAATGAATGAATGAATAAATGAAAGAATAAATGGAAATTGATATGAAGGCAGGCAGGAAGGTATGCATGAAATAATTTCTTGCCATGATATGGTAACGATGGGCGATGGCAGGTTGAAACTGCACCGTGTCATCGAGCGAACGTTATTCTTAGTGACTTAGTGACATTTTGGCATTATTGTGATTGTCGACTGCCGGCGAATCAAGCTAGAGCTATTTAAATATGAAAGTAGCACTGCTACTGTAGCAGGGAAGTTACTGCATGAGAGGCTCAAGGGCAAGGGCCACTGACTATGATCATAATAGACACCATTCGATCCCTATGACCAGTCCGAGGGTCTCACAGATGGAGTTTGCCTATTACCATCGTTCCCTGAACCGTTTAACAGACGCGAGCCCTAGCCATTAGCTGGAAAGACCGGCTATGGGTCGTTCATTCACAAAGACGAGCGGAAGCTGTGATGACCACTTGGCGTTGACTGACAATGACTGGAAATCATCTCCTGCCGGAGACTGCTCGCCCTGCAGTGTCTGTTGCCCCTCCCCGTGCCGCTCTGTCTGACCCCTCCCCCCTCTGTCCGCCCTGCAGGTCAGTCGCGGGACCACCGGAGCCCGCTGGCGCTGCGTGCCGACGCCAGCTCGGCTAGCGGCGGCGGCGGCGTGCGCTACAAGTTCCAGCAGACAGCGCCACAGGTGGGTGTCGCCGCCGACATGTGACACGTCGTGACACGATATCGTGTGACGGGACACGGACGGAGGTGCTGCCGCGAGTCGAGACCGTTGTGGCGGCGCGCAGAGGCGCGGCGCGGCGCGTCTGACCGTGTTCAAGTTCGGTCTCACCGGGCGCCGGTGGACGGGTAACGGTCCGAACGAACACACCCTCAGCTGGCTGAAGACGGCGGGTGATCCGGAACGGACGCTGAACTGGGACGGTGGACACGGTGACACGGGTGTTGGTGACACGCGAATGGATGACACAGTGTCACACAGACTGACACACCCACCGGGAGCCCCCGGTGTCTCGCAGAGAATGGCACTCCCAGTACTCACTGGGGACAGAGTGTCACTGAAGCACAGACTGACACGCCCACTGGGAGCCCCAGTGTCACGCACTCCCAATGACACCGACTGGCCGAGTGGGTGCCAGGGTGACACGCCGATTGGCGCTGCCGGCCGAGCCTGGCGGCGCCAGGGGCTTTCAGAGCCCGATCGAGCGCCGGCGACAGTCGGCCGGCAGCCGCGACGGCCGTCTTTCCTCGTTTGATGGGTGGATAGTTTACCGAGCACGCGAGCCTGGAACGTTCGTGGTGCGGTGCCCGGCGTCAGTCAGCTGGGCATATGGTAGAGACCGTTCGGGATTGGTGGATGCTTCCAAGGTTACACCGGTCTCCTGAACGCTTTATACATCGTCTGTCAAGTGAACGCCGAGTACAAACTGCAAAAGCCCAGTCCATGTCAGTCATTCACAGGTAGTACTTTGTGACAAATCCACCTACATTATACGGTATTTTGGAATGCATGGCGCGAACGTCCATTCGGTAATGATAATATTCCCAAGTCAACAACCTCACGCCAGCTGCCAGCCTAAATTGCTTAATTTGCCTTCAGTTCACCTTTGTTATGCCGGTTATTACAACAAATTGTCATTGTCTAGTGTTTGTACAATGGGTTCTTTGTCACGTTTAAATGCAATTCAATGGCAATTGGTACATAATTGTTCTGGCCATTTTTGTTTTCAAAAACGGCTAGTGTTCGGCATTTAACGCTTAGAAGCCAAACATTGAATATCTTGCTAAGGCTGCAGGTTGCAAAGTTGACAAACAATATGCTCATTACAGCTATGTTAGGAACAAACGCCCAATATTCGGCTACATGTTTTTGCCAAGTGGCAACTCCAGAAATAAGACCGTTACTGCCCGGCCATGGGCCATGTCCTTTGCCGCACAAAGGAACAATAGCGTTACCCGGACGAGCGACGCCTGGTCGTGGCGGTCGGCGGACAATGATAAGTCCTCCAAACTAAGGCACAAGTCCCGTGCTCGCGGACCAGCGAACCAGCGAGTCCGATGGCACACCGTGCTACCCTTTTACAGCACCGGGCTTCTCCACAATTTTTCAGTTGTGTTCCGCTTGCCTGACCGGTGCACGGTTGCACGCAATGCTCGGTGAGGCAGCGCCCGGCGGCGCGGCGGCGCTCGTGGAGACGGGCATGCCGCCGTAACGGTGCGGGTGACGCGCCCGTGACCCGGCCGCGTGACGCCGCTAACCGGGTCACGCACGCCGACCCGCTCTGGCTGGGGGAGCTTTACCGGCGGTAACCGGCCGACGCCGTGACGGTAGCAGCCATTAGTCGAGCCACGGCCACGGCCCGAGTCTGGTGCGGACAGGCCGAACGGCCACCATTGCTCGCCGTCCGTACCACCGCGACCGGGCCGCCGTCCACCGTCTGTTCCACTCCACCGGCAGCCGCCGTCCACCGTCGGTTCCACTCCACCGTCCGCCGCCGTCCACCGTCCGCTCGTCCACGGCCTCTGCTCACAGAGGCGATCAGCCGCCACCGTTCCACCTAAGTCGCAGGTCACTGCTGATTTGGTCGCCGTGTCTTTCCGTCCACCATGCACCGCCGCCGCCGCCGCCGCCGCAGCGTCAATGGACGGATGACCCACATCGGGCGCCGGCGTTCGGCTGACCGTGGCTCGCTGGTTCCGGCGGCTCGGCGGCTCCGGCGGCTCCCGCAGCTCCGGCGGAGTGTCTGTGGCCGCTGCGGTCCTCCAGGGTCTCCCGGAGACAGAGCCGCCACGGTAACCGGGCTGGCGATGACGGCGGTGGCGGCTCCCACGTCTGCTCCCACGGTGTGGGCTATTTGTTGGACACGTGTGGATCGACGAAACGGCCGACTGTACAACGGTGGTGCTCGCTACTGCAGGGCTCGAAGGCTTGAAATGAATCCCGGCTCGGCTGGGTCGAGGTTGAGCTGCAACCCATTTCTTGTTGAACAGAATCCATTTGATAAATCAATGTATTATTTAAATGGGTACCAAGCAAACTACCTACCCAATTGAAAACAATCAAGCAGCACACATTGGCACAAATGATAAGTACGTACAAATAGTACATTACTCAATGCAATCACTATGCTGAACCTACTGATAAGCATCGACGGCAGACATGCATGACAAGTGTGCGCTTTGCATGGCACACGCAAGTCATGACGCGAGTCACGAGGCTCCTGTGTAATTATATGATGGCGTGTGATTCGGATGTCGCATATAATTTAAGATAGACTCCAGCAGTCGTTCTACGGGCTTCTGTAAAGTCTGTTTCATCCTGTCGCTTCTGACTGCAGTATTCACACCCAAGTCACCACTAAAGTTCGGCTGTTCTGGTCTCACCAAGCAGGCACTCGCCGCCGGGTCACAGCCCTCCCCGCCCCCGCGCGTGTGAGGTGTGCCCTGACCTCTGAGGCGCCGCGCTGGCACGTCGCTGACCGAGCCCGACCGCGCGCCGCGCCGGCCGAGCGAGGTGTCCGCGCAGTGAACGGGAGCGTCAGCGCCGCGGAGGCCGCGTTAGCACCGCGATAAGAGGAGAAATCGTGAGACATTGCCGCGCCAGGCGAGCCAAATCACGCCGTGGAAGAGCCCAGACTTGGAGGGCTGACCGTGACGAACAGCTCGGTGTCACGGAAGTGCCCAGAAGGTACCCATGTGTGATGATGTTAGCTTTTTTAGACTACCAAGTCCTACTTGCGCGGGCCCTGGAGCATGACGAGTAAGGTGTAATTAACCGCACGCTCACACCTCAAACACCATCATCCGCAAACTGGCGCGTCACGGCCCACGTGCTCCGTTTGGTTGTCATTTGTCGCTGCAGTGCCGGGTGAGATGACGTACCGGACCGTCAGATTAGCTGTCTGACGAACGGTGCCGGCCAGCCGCCGGCCCAGATCTGCCGTTAGACAGATGACTGAGCGATGGTGCTACCGGTGGGGCGGACAGTGGGAGACCCGCCCACTGACAGTCACACAGGCATGTGACAGACGTGAGCGGCTGTGACAGAGACGGTCGGACAGTCGGAGACCCGCCCACGTTAACGACATGTGCGACTGTGACAGTACCGTCACGGACCCCGCCCACCGAACAGCCCCGCCCATTGACCGTCACAACCTCGCCAACTGATCGTCACACACAGCCCCGCCCAAGATTACTTTACTACTCGCCCCGCCCACTGCTCCTCTTTGCTGCCTGTTTCTGTCTAGTGACCGATCGTCTGCCGCGAGCAATCGGTTCCTGTCGGTAGCAGGCCAACCGGGCTTCTTGGCTGCTACACTCACTATCACGGCCATGGGCTAGGTCAGGCCGATGGATGCAGTCCATAATTTTCTTCTCCCCTCCTCTCCTCTCCTCTCCTCTCCTCCCTTTCCTCTCCTCTCCTCTCCTCTCCTCTCTCCTCTCCTCTCCTCCCCTCTCCTACTCTCTCCAGAGTTTCGTCTCGGGCCGTCAGACAGTCACACCTCGTGTCACGTGACCAGTCACGGTGACGTCACGAGTCGTCCGGACGACAGTGACCGTAACACTTCTGTTCGGTCGGAGCCGAGACACATACGGTAGGTAACGGAGGAGACAAAAAACATAGTTCAGGGGAGACAAAAAACCTGGCACGGGGGAGATGAAGCCGGGTCGAGGAGACGGACACGGCGCAAGAAAGATTGAGACGGCGCGGATGAGAGTCAACAAACGATGCAAAGAAGATGGGAACGTCACGGAGGAGACAGTGACAACACAAAGAAGACGGAGACGGCGTCAGCGTCGGTGAGACGGAGACGGAACGTCAAGTGCCGCACAGCATGATGATGATGATGCAGTTATGAGTACAAGTACAAGTACATGAGTACAGTGTACAAGTTACAACTGATACCATGCATCGAAATTGGTTTCTTATTAATTAGACGGTGAATGCTCGGCCCACCTCACCGCCGCCGCAGTGCACTCGTAGTCGCAGCTAATTGGCGTTCTGCGTATCTGCGACTGTTCTTTCGTGTCTAGAAAACCCATTTATCGATGAAGAGCCACCTCTGCAGAGTGGGGGGAATTTCTCTGCGATTGGGGTTTCATCTTCGCTCGGTCACACCTGTTCAATAGCAGCTGTGAGCCGTCGTCCGCGCAGTCGGTCAGCCACTCACGGGCCTTTTTCTCCAGCTTTCTTGGTAGTGGAGATTCACGGTGCGAAGCTTTCTTCTCTGAGGTTGTTGTACTCTTACAGACCGACTGTTCAGTGTTCCCGGATGAGATCTCCGTGACATTGAGCCTGTTTGCGCGAAGACTTGGTATTTTTTTCTTTATTGCCATGAGTAGGTAAGAATGGTGTGGTATGAATATTAAACATGCGATCGAGAAACCGACCGTCTGTCATGAGGGACTGGACAGTGGAAAGGCAGGCTTGTTTTCTTTCATAATTCCTCCATATTGCAAACAATGAAACACGCGCATAACTGAAGCCAATGAAGGCAACTAACGTTCATAACTGAAAAGGTAACGCAAGCATGGTCCTAACTGTATGTCAGGACCCCTTCCTGACCCGTAACACCGAAGGACCTGTCCCTTTTCTTGTCCTCAGTTCGGTTTCTCCGCCTTTACCCCAGCGTAGGTGCTGACTGCGTATTCCAGGAATGTCTAGACGGTCGGCGCGGCACAGGTGAAAGCGGCGTCTCCTGTGCGCTGCAGACGGTCCGTCCCCAATACAGCCCTCATGGGAGATGACTCAGACTCAGACGGTCCGCCCTCACTTCAGCTCTGGGGATGTGACCCAGACTCAGACCACCCGTCCCCGATACGATCCCCATGGGAGATGACCATGGTGTGAATGAACTCCCAGGCGTTCCATGTGAGATGACCGGTACCAAACTCTCAGACCCCATTACGACCCCCTAAAAGATGGCAACGTCTTTGAACACAATTCTTACTTCTTAGTTCTTAGACTTGTGTTCACCTATTCTACTCATTTTCTTGCTGTGATAAATGCCCCATTTGCTGATTTTGGCTTGGCCTCACCTTTAACCGCCGTTTCAATATTTGTTGACATCTTGTGTTCCACTTACGTGTGGTGTCCCCTCTCCATCGTTAACGTGTCTATCGGAACTATCTGTTAACTTATCGACAATTAAGAGCTGCTCCGACTGCCGTAGTACCCACTGAATGTTATCCTGCGCCATATTCGTTCAGTTACTTAAAGTCAATTGAATGTCTCTGTTACACAATAATCTGGGTTACCAGTCTAACATCTATGTGATATCTCTCCGACCGTTAGTTTGTCCTCTATTCTGCATGTACTGTCGGGTCTCTCTTCACCGTCAGACTTAATCTATGTTTCTCTGTTCCGCCAGTTTCACTTCGGTCAGCTGAACATCACGGGTAACGCCGGCAAGGAGACGCTCTTCTTCAACCGGGTGCCCAAGGTGGGCTCCCAGAGCACGATGCAGCTGCTGAAGCGGCTCTCGTACCGCAACCGCTTCAACTTCCACAAGGACCACCCGCAGAAGGTGGAGCTCATCAACCTCAACCCGCCGCAGGAGGTGAGCACGGGGAGAGAGGTGCGACCTCGGCAGGACCGCTGAGCAGAGTTAACGTAATTACGTTTTACACGGTTCTGCTCTATGCAGCCTGTTAATTGGTGTCTCGCAGTTAAGTTAGGAAAGTTGCGTGTGCGACATCGTATTCTTGTGTTTCGTTGACTAAAATAGCTTTGTGAAAATTTCAGACTACCTGCAGCAAGGACATAAAGTGTAGCTGACCATTGGCCATTGATCAGTGACTCGAGAGGCGTTATGTATGTGACAGAGCCGTGGGGCGGTGAAACACACACTGAAACTGCCCTGCACGCTGTCCTCCGGGCTCCATCCATTCAACCCGCACAGCGTGTGGCGCGACGTATGTTGACCTCTGAGCGGCCTCACCGCCACTCGCGGCCCCACCGCCACTCTGCACACACGCAGCGTCCCACCGGCCACCACCCGCAGAAGTAGGACATAACTGCATAGTTTCGGCAGGGGCTGGGCACGGGGCAGTGCAGGCTGTCAGCGCATGTATAAATGATGCGTGTGATGGCTCGAGAGACTGGGAGAAGACCGTTCACTGATCGAGATGTCATCTGATCATTTTTAGAGTAGGTATAGGGCGTAAAAAGCACGATTGCATATGATAACCAGCGCAGCTTTCTCGATTTTCTTTTTGGACAAAAAAGATGCACAAACGGTCGTCTCCCGATCGCCTGATCGCACCAAACACATGACTGGTGACTAGACGAGACGCCCGGGAGAAAGTCTCCGTAACTGCGACAGATAGAGGAAACTGGGTCACCAATTAGTGCGGTCACTGACACTTCCCTGTGTCTCTTCTCTCTCCGCAGAAGCGGCTCTGCTCGCTCATCAACATCTTCCGGCCGCCGGCAGTCTACGTCAAGCACGTCTGCTTCCTCGACTTCGTCAAGTAAGTCCTTCCGAAAAATCGGCCCTCAGTCTCGGGGAGAGATCGACTCCGTCATTGTGTTGTGTGTGAATACGCCGCGCCACAGCCGTCGCTGTTGGCATGCTGGCTCTTAATTTACGCGTATGCAGTAGGTAATATGTGTCGTGCTTCCTGTCCATCGATGTAACTACTTCAAGTGCGCCGAAACCGCAGCACGATGAATGAGGTGCGCAAGGTGTCGCTGCAAAGATAGTGACTGACAACACCATACATTCTTGGTGAGAAGCTGCTTTATTTTCCGGTGACGCTCGCACACTGCGAGTTCCACGCCGCCAATTCACGTAATTCCGGTCTTCTCAGGGCTGTGAATCAGTTAGATTAGAAAATCGAGCGGCCTAAATCACTTTCTGCGGGGGCGCTGGAGCGTTTCACTGAGCCAAACCGTGCAGCGTCTGCCTGAAAAGGTGAATGGCTTTTTGAACGGTCACGCTGATGGGTTTCGCTCCCTATGTGGACGGCCAAATGTCGTGACTCGTGGCAGCTCTGTCGTCTCGGCTCGTCGCCGCGCTGGGAGAGGGTGGGCATGGCCCGTGTGAAGTGACGGTTTCCCGGAGCCTTTCTGTGGAGTCCACTGACGCCGCGGTATGGGATGAGAAACCGACTGCGGTCACTGGGGCAGGCGCCTGTCGGGGGCCGGGAGTGGTTTAGAGCGGCGCGGTCTCGGAGACATTGCACCGTCCGCTGATCGGCTACGACAGCTGGAGGCTTGGCAGTGGACAGTGGATCCTGTCACACTGTCACAGCCGACTTCAGCATACCTTCATCGGCCCGACAGCTATACTAGACAGCAGCTCTGCCCGCTCCGTTCGTACTCGGTACCAGGCCACTGCACTCTCCCCATGCTGTCTGTGCCAGACAGCTGTTGGCTGCAATGCACCCTCTCTGTCCGTACAAGCTAGCTCTCTCGTTCGCTCTGTCTGAGACTGATCGCGATTAGCCACCAGGCATCAGGGACCAGGGCGATGATTCGAGACAAGCGTGCCACGTCTCCCGCTCCCCACTCATCGTCTCTGCCGAGCCGGCGACACTGCAGCACTCCTGGCCGCCGGTTACTGAGGTGTCCCGTCGCGCTGACTGACCGACAGTTGACCCAGCTGCTGTATAGTCGACTACAGAATGATGTTCCACTCCTCAGAAGCTATCAGTTGACCGGAGCGCTAAGTTGTGCCGTTTATCACGCAATTAATCGTGTCGATTGTGAGCATTGGGACAGAGCTATGTGAACTCAGCCCGTGTGATGCGGCACAGCCTACCACTACAGGCAAATAATTGCCTGTGAAAAGTGGAACATCATTCTGTAGTCGACTATACATAGCAGGGGTGGCGTGCGCCGGCTGACCCGCAGCGCATCCGACCCAGCCACCGTGCCAGGGGTCGCGCGTGGTATGCTAATCGGAGCCCAGTGCAGTCGTGTGAACGGAATACATTGGTCCGGTCGGCAGCATAGACGGGTCACTGAACTTGACCTCCATCGTGCGTCTGTCACGGCGACTCCTGGGACGCGCACGGCCCGGGGGCAATGCAGCCGATGAACCATAGCGCGGGCATGGCGTCTGCCTCAGTTCGTGAGCTCGTAAACTCAACTGATGACAATGCCTAATTGAGGCGCTGCCGCCTCATCAGCGTATGTGGTAATGCTTGACCTCTGGCAACATGCCAGGCTGACGATGCATAACTAGGGCTTCGTGCAGTGCATAATGCGATTGCGTCCAACCCGGCATGCACAAAGTCTGGTTCAAGGCGTGGTTGTTGACTTATTTGTCAGTGCTGCAGATGTTGGTCTCAGACTCACAGAGCATATCAGACCCACCGCACCAGTCGCGCCTAAATGTCCCGGATTTGAGCCAGAATCTGCCGATGGTTTGTGAACCGCTTCTAAATTATGCCTCAGCAAGTTTACAATCGATTAAAAATACCGAAATTACTCGGCGCCGTCATGGTTTCTTTACTGCCTCAAATATTTTGTCTCGTGCTCTTGCGCCGCTTCTTATGTCCGTGTTAAATCGATCGGTTTGACATGTTTATCAGACACACAGTAGCTGCTGAGGCAAACAGCGCTATCGTGGGTACATACCTGCGGGGGCGGGATTAACGCCGCCCGATTGTGCGTCGGGGATGGATTCAGGTGTGACCTTCGAGCCGGGGTCGGAGGTAACTACTCTCCGAACGCTGACCCGGCGTGAGTGAGGAGTTCGCGATGGTTACAGTTTATCGCCTGGATGACAAGGATCCCGCACACATCTGTCTTTGTGATGGATGCGGTTCTGCTGCACAGTACCGCGTCGTGGTTTGCCCGCCGTGGACCGGCAAAACAGGAGACAAACCACGAGAGGTGAATAATGGCTAGGTGAAAATCGGAGTGAATTGTCGTCTCTCGCACGATATCTATCGTCAGTCGCCTGTTTTGTGCAGACTTTCGCGGGTCATTCCCGCTGCCGGTTCTTTCGTGGTCGGGATACAGCATTTGGCGGTCACAGATTCGCCTCTTGCAAGTAGGTATATGCCGTACAAAAGATGTTCACTGATCAGTGGTTCGGGTGACTGTGCGACCAGGTGGCTGTGAGCTCAGGTGACTGTGACTTTGAGTGAGTACTGACTGACTACTGTGAGCTCAGTGTGTCGGGCCCTGATTAATGAACGACCATTGATAAATCGATGGCCTATCAGCTGGTCAGCCGGTGGCTCGGGGAGTGCCCTCGGGGCAGACCCATATATGGCCTTGGGGCAGACCCTATATATGCCCTCGGGCAGACCCTATATATGCCCTCGGGGCAGACCAGCGGCAGAGGCGATGCTAATGCGAATGCGAAAACCAAACAAAGGAGAATACGAGGACGCAATTATTTCACTGAGTTACAAGCACGGGCTGTATAGCTACCTTTTTTATTGCGGTGAAGGTGTTCGAAATCGGTGGGTAATATTAACAATAGCATTCATGAATGTATATAGGTACAAAACCATGTGTTATATTTTCCCATGTGCGAAAGCATTATATTTCAACTTTTTGCACTTTAAATAGAATATGCCTAGTGTAAGAGTGAGGTGAATTATTTGAATATAAGTACCACGGCACTAACTACTATGTTTGAAGATTGTGTGGCATTTTTTGACCTCGTTAAACACAATGGAAACTGTCTTTAGAGCCTTGCATTGCTAAAAAGATGTAGGATAATTGATCTGTCTTTCCTTTCCTGTCTGGCAAATGTTATGCATGGAAGGGCAGGAAAATACGGTCACTCCCATCATTTATAGCCAGACAGCCGTTAACTAGGCGTCAAGTTTGTTTGTAAAACACGGCTCTTGTTACTGAGACCAATGTCTGAGAGTCGGGGTTCGGAATGGTAACGGACGTCTGCCCGCTGCCAAGCCGCCAGTGCCCGGGAGTAGCTCACGTGCAAGTCCACTTATTCCGTGCTCCCATACCATGAATGGACGTGGATGGTCAGGAAAGGTCCAAATGTTACAGGAGAGGGCAGTCGGGTCGGGACCTCGCTGTCAATCACTTCTGAATTACTCCGCAGGCTGAGAGCCCTAATGTACTGCTGAAAATACCGCGTGTCGTCTGAGTGACGCGGCGGTCGGCGGTGCTGGCTGTTGACCGACCCCTGCGCACGGTCGGTAATGCTCCCTCTCACCGGTGATTATCACGTAAGCTCCAACCTCCCAGACGGGCGCTGTCAGTGTAGAAATGGGCAGCTGAGCAAGTCGCTCGAGTGATTCGGAGAAGCCAGTCGAGTCCCTCGGTCGGTGAGGCTGCCAGGGTTATATCCTAGGGTGTGATAAAAGTACGGGTTCTATCTTGGGCGGAGTTAGAGCTACTCAAATGGTTGCTGGAAACTATTTGAGTGACCCGCAATCTCTGGGCTTCGCGCTCCACCCACGCGGCCTCCCACCACTTCCAGTTGCGTTTGTCCCGGCTAACTCCAACTTGTCGCGGAGGGTCTCTCAAAAGTTTGAGTGTAGTCCGTTTCGGAGGTAGAGCGGTTTACTTACTGCTACGTTCAGTTAGAATGTGCGACCATTAGTAGTTACTACCAGTGACCTCGGGGGTGGAAGTATAAGAATAGCCTGTGACATTTGAGGTAGGGGAGAGTGGGGCAAAGCGGCCACCCGGGGCAAAGCGGCCACCCATCGTTTTAGCCCTTCGTAGCTGGCGTCAGTTCCAATTTATGATTTCCAATTATACTTCTCTTCACGGTCGTTCGAATGAGCTAGACCGGGGTTTCAGGCCCATCACCATTGTTCTGTGAAACACGGAAAAGCATTTCTTGCCATGTTACCAACTATGTTTACAATTTTCAAATGTTATGTTATTCCATAACCGTTTGGAATTTTTTATAAGCGTTCTTGTCCATGCATTGCATGGTTATCGTACATGCATTCTACCAATTTTAATGTTTTTTACCCCACTAAAAGCTAAGCTGGAATATTTTTGTCTCGGACGGTATGCGCGGGGCAAAGTGGCCGGGGCAAAGTGGCCACCCCCCTATTGGCCATAAATTGTTTCCATCTGGATAAAAAACATTATTTATATTCAAATGTGTCGTCATGCATTCATCTTGGCCTCTTTTCAGTTGCATGAGTTACCAAATAATGCAATTAAATGTTTTTTCATGAAAATCCTTTCTTTGTTTACCTACAGGTGGAAGATAATAACGTAAACATCCATCCTCGCTTAAACCTTGTCACCATCAAATACCCTAGTCGTACATGAGGCAACTATGTTGTTTCTCATATCGGGACTTGAGAAGACGCCGGTGGCCGCTTTGCCCCAGGGTATGGGGCAAAGTGGCCAATATGCATAGGTTTAAAGTTTTGTCGATATCTTTTATATGTGAACGCCTTTGGAAATAAAACGCAGTTGAAATGAAAGGCAACTTAATAGGGATCACATTGGTATAGAAAGAATCTTTCCAAGTTTAAAAATCAAGCGTTGGCATCGTGAGAAGCGTTAGGGTGGCCGCTTTGCCCCACTCTCCCCTATGTGACATTTGAGCTAGTACAACTAATAGCTGCATCTCCCGGGCTGCCGAACAACAATGCAGTTTATTTTCTAATATCATATGACTTTAGCCAAAGCATTGGCTTTGACCCTTGACGGTAGTTATAAGAAAGCAAACTCTGTAACCAACTTATCAGTTGTTGCCAACTTCTTTTGATGTTTGGGTAGGTATCCCTTATCGCGCCGTACTCGCGAGTAACGTTCATTAAACATTCCTCATTCATTTTTTAGCTGGTGTTATCAGGTAGGCAGTCGATGTTGTGCGCTGCTGGACAAGTTGCGAGTTAGTTGGTGAACGAGAGCCAGTTTTTCTTGGAAAGCATGGAAGGAAATGGAGAGCCAGCAAAGCATTCTTACCACAGAGCGGAGGAAAGGGCTGTGGCGTTATAAAATAATCCCTGAGAAAATTCCATCACGTATCACTCTATTGTCGACAGTGGTAATAAAACGGCGTGATTCCCGGAGCTGACCGTGGGCTCAATGTGACGCACCAGAGCCACTTCCCGGCGCAGTAGAGCGGCGGAAAGTGGCGCATATGCGGCGAACGGCGCGCTGTCCGTCTGTCGGGCTCTGGGTCACGTTGAGTCAGCACTTTAGCGCCACACTGAGTCAGGTCAGAGTCAACAGACTGCCTTTTATGACAGACCTGCCGCACGTCTCGATACTTTCTCCAGCGATAAGATGGCATGCCTAAGGCGCATAGAAATTAAAAGGTGCCAACGTCAAAATCATATGCGATAGTTGGCTCGCCACTCAGCCGAAGACAATTTTTACATTTGATTCGAGTCTCTATAATCGAGAATGCAAAAAAAAAAACAGCATGCGTCTGATGGACCTGACGACCAGGAAGCAACAGCTTCTACGAGTAATGGCAGCAAAAACAACCCGTCTGGCCTCGGACTGGCCTGAGCAATTACAGACTGGACATAAATGTGTGAGAACTGTGATACGACGATACGTGCCGCGCGTGGTCTGTCGGCTATATCGTACATCGGTGTCGAGTTCGACTATTACCTGCTGCGCCCGAGTCGTGAGTGCCGTGAGTGTCTGCTGTACCGCGAGTACAGTGTGTGGCCCCGCCTGCCGCGACACAGTCGTGACCGCGGGTGGGACTACCGGCCGCGCTTCCGGCCTGCCCGTACCGACGACCGTGTGCAGGAAAACTGCCCTATCAACAGGAAATCGAAACGCGTCTGATATTATTCAGAAACTCGTAACGCCAGCGCGGCTGTGTAACATGGCGTAACCAAGTATTTAAGCTGCGTAGTTCTCACTCAATTAACTCTTCGAGGACAATAATAAGGAAATCCCTTTGAAACATGGGTTTAACGATTTTTCGTCCAAAAAAATGTCCGTGTTGAACTGTCGGAAACGGGCAGGGGGGATAAATATCAATTGATTGCGCAGTGTGACCTTATATTTGAAAATGTCACGATGCTGAATTTTTCACACCGTGTGTGCCAATAAAATAAAACGAGTCACACTCTGGAGAACATCTGACCACGTCTGATCTGACCAGCAGAGCTTCCTGTGGGCTGTGGCCTCCCGTTAACCCATCTGTTCACTGTGCACTGTGCAGTGGATGGACGGTGCCGTGAGACTAGCCTAGCCGCCCGTCGTCCCCGTCTGTCAGCTGACTGCACGTCGTCCCCGACTGTCTACTGTGTCCGCCCGCTGACCCCGTCTGTGACCGCCCGTCGCCCTCGTCTGTCCCCAGGTACGGGTACGACCCGCCCATCTACTTCAACATGGTGCGGGACCCGGTGGAGCGCATCATCTCCTGGTATTACTACGTGCGCGCGCCCTGGTACTTCGTCGAGCGCAAACGGGCGTTCCCTGAGCTGGAGCTGCCCGACCCCAACTGGCTGAAAAAGGTACGGGCTGAAACAGAGTGGAACAGACTAAAAGGGTACGGACTGACGGACTGAAACTGACAGAAAAGGGTAGGCACGGACTGACGGATCCCAACTGGCTGAAAAGGGCACGGGCTGAAACACAGTGGAATAGTCTAAAAGGGTACGGAAAGACTGAAACTGACCAAAAAGGTGGGCACGGACTGACGGACCCCGACTGACAGAAATAGGTGCGGACTGGCGGCTGGTCGGTCAGTTAAATGACTCCGGCGGAAGCTCAGCTTCTGACTCCTGAATCAGCATTGTCGAGAGCTAAGGCGAGGACGACCGTAAGAAATGGTTGTGCAAAATGGTGTTATTTCAAAAAGCTAATTAACGTCGTGTGAATGATGTGTAAAGCTTTTTATCGCTCAGTTTCACACGGTAATATGCTCGATGTCTGTTTTCCTCGGTAATTTTCCAATATCGTCTCCAAAGTGACATGCATCCATACATGCAGCCAGAGGTGAAAAAATGTGTCAACTCTCCAACCGGTGTTGGAGACAGAGCCAATCCAATAAAGGAAGGTCGTCGGAGACACAACCACTTTAATATAAATAATAATCTCTTTTCATTTTGTCGCAAAAGTCTTCTCGTTTTTCTTTGATGCACACAAAAAATCAATCATATAATCATATTGACTATTGAGTCTTAGTTCATTACGAAAACTTCATACTCCATAGCACTATACAGTACCTATATAATACATAGGCTGCCCCGGAGACACCGGAGACAGAAGGTGGCGAGAAGGTGATGAGTCCTAGAGCCGGCCGGAATCCATAAAGACGATTCTCTTTGACGCCTGCCGCGAAACTAGACCTTACGGCTGTCTCCGGAGACACGAAAAAATTTCAGTAGCGAAAACGCTAGCACAAACCCTGCGCACTTGTGACAACGCGGCGCAGCTTCTGAAAATGCCGTTGGGTTGGGATAGTAGCGACAGTAAAGTGTGCTTGAAGTGACGGAAGAGAGAAGTTGGATCTTGGTTGAATCTACCTTGGTAAGACTAAAATAAGACAATGGTTGAGGTTGGGGAATAATTATCAAAGTTGAGGAATCAATAGGTACTGAGGAAATATTGAACTTTTCAAACGAAAGTAACATATATTGTACAAAATCCCTTGTGAATGATTTTTATTATATAGTTGATGCAGAAACAGTCGTTTTCCTTTCATTTGTTTTATATTTCAGTTTAAAGTTCAGTTCTGATTGACTGATTTAGGAATGCATGTGAAGGTGATCAATATCAATACATTGATTGCATTCTTATTCTAGAAATGCTTCAAAAGGAAATAGACAAATCTGAAGTGGTTTATGTTGCTGATTGCACTTATCTTTGAATTTCAAGAATTTTAGATTAAGTATTCATAAGAAGTTTTATTCAAGCTTGATGTTCCTTGTCCTAGCATCAATCCATGATGTCTAAAACTTGTTTCTATGTACCCATTATACAAACCACATGGTTTGATATTTGCAGATTGAGGTGCACAGACTCAATGCAAGCATTTGCATTTTGCAACAAGCATTTACCTATATTATTGAACCATTTATGGACTTCCTGTTGGAAGTGAAGAGCAAATACTCCAGTCATCATTTTGATTTTACAAATATTAAATTTTGGTGGTCTATATCAAAGCACCATCTTGCTGACACTTTCAGGTAAGGCCAGATATCAGTCTAAATATATGCATGCATCTCAATGATTTAAAACAATCCAAGTCTTCATTGGTGCATATATCAATGTAAATGTGCTATTTTCATTGGCTTATTCCCATGCCTTCGATTTCTGCATGGCAGAGGAAGCATTTATTTTGTATTTGTATTTGTATTTGTATATTTAAAATCGCCAACAGACAATAAGTCCACTTAACACGCGCAGTGGAAGGGGGGGGGGCGGATTTCGCCCACCCCTCCTGTTTTTCGCCAATAACTCGCGCCGCAAGCATAATATCAATGTGAAATTTCGGCTACCTGTCCAGAATTGAACTGCGGATCTTCTCGTGCAAGAAGTAAGAAAATCGGTTCAAAACTTTTCTAGTAATAGCGGTGTAAAGTCAAACATCCTGCCGCCGCGGCGGCGCGGCGGCGCGGCGGCCGGCGCTAGCCGTTACGCGCCGCCTGAATTGTAGACTGTGCCGGGGCGGGACGGTTCCGTCTTTACATCGCGCTCCTTACCGCTGATTATATTAGATTCGCGTCAAATTCGGTGAGAAGACTGAGAAATGTAGAGGCAATCATATGGTCAAAGAATTTTGAAAATCGGCCGGTAACAACTTGAGTTATGAGTGTGTAAACACAAAATTGTGATTGCCGCGTTTCCCGCGTCGGCCGATGCCGCTTCAGCCGGCGACATCTTACCCTTCGCAGGCTTCTAACTGCCATATTTATTGTTGGGTTATTTAGAAATTCACCATACATACTCACAAATGTTTGCTCTTTCGTATAGTGAAAGATTTAAAAAAATCGGCCGGTAACTTTTTGAGTTATCGGCGTGTAAACGTAAAAAAGTCGCTAAAATGGCAAATTTGACCACATTTGACCTCATTTGACCTTGAAGATATTGACCTAGGGTCATGAAATTCACACACAACAGAGTTCCCCATTGCCTTCACCTACCCTCCAAATTTCGTCTTTCTAGCTCCAGTGGGAGCTGAGATCTTAGGGGGGGGGGCGACATCCGCCCCCCCCCCCTTCCACTGGGCGTAGTACTCGCAACCCTTCCACTGCGCGTGTTAAAAGGCGAAGTCAAAGAGACAGTAAAACAGCACACAACCACACACACAACACACACACACCTACATACACACACACACACTGAAGATAAAAACACGTAGGGTTATAAACACAGGAGATGTAAATAAATAAATAATAGCCTAAAAAGCCTAGTAAACAAGAAACACTAAAAGCACAGCGGATGCGATCACGCCGCTTCCAGCCCTTTCACATAGTTTAAAACGTGTCCTCTAAAAGTGTAGAAACTATCGCTAAAAACATCAGCGGGACTTCTAGTTAAAAACACGTTCATGGCCCTCGGTAGTCGGCGCAGAAAACCATCCCCGACGGTCCGTACGCGCCAGGGAAGCTCGGCGAAGAGCCGCTGTGAGCGGGTTGATCGCGGCGGCACATGGAGCGGAAATCTACCAAGGAGGTTAGAAGAACGGATTTTACCGGCCAGGATATTCCTCAGGAAGAGCAGGTCGTGTTGGTTTCTACGGACAGACAGTGATGTAATACCAAAATGATGCAGAAGAGAAGGATAGGACAGAGAGGAACATGGCGAGGATGTGTGGCTATTCAACCACAACAAGAATTTGTGCTGCACACGATCAACCCGCTCTGTGTGGGATTTGGCCGCTCCCGCCCAGACCACGCAACCGTATTCCAAAATTGAACGAACATTGGCATAGTAAGTAACGAGTAACGTATGTTTGTTAAATTTCGATCTCTTAGTCCCGGCCTGAAAGGTTCTGATCATCAGGCCTAGGGCCCTGTTTGCCTGGCATACAATCCGGGACACGTGCGCCGAAAATGACAGCTTGCTGTCAATTGTGACGCCAAGATCTTTGATCTCGTCTACGCTCTCCAGAACAGCGCTGCCAATACGGTAGGTGGTCCGAACGGGAGCGCGCCGCAGAGTCACACTGAATGCTTTACATTTGGCTGGGTTTAGAGACAGACCCCATGTGGCCCAGGGGCGGATCCAGGAATTTTCGGGAGGGGGGGCGGCAAGTCGAAATGGGGGCGACCTGGCGATCCGGGGGCGCTCCATACAAAGGGGGCGCCAAACCGTCAAAATCGGGAGCTAAAAGCCCGCGCCGTGCTAGGGGGCGTTATTGCGCTCCCCCTCAGGTTTTTCGCAAATATCTGGAAAACGGCTGCGCGCAGCGCCGCCATTTTCAGCATACCTTATCATGCATCTTTTTTGCACATGTTGTAAAAATGTCTGACGCGGGTGATGGAAGGTCAGGTCACCAGGTTATGCCAAGGGACCTAGCCTAAGAAAAAGTTCAAATGCTTACCATTGCTATACCGACTGAACGATTGCTTTGAACCTTTCAGCGATTGATGAAAGCAACACTATTCATGAAATGTATATCTCGGAATTTCGATATCTGTGACCTAAGGTCAGGTCAGTTGTGCGACGTCTCCATTAGGTAGGTAGGTATAATTAAGTCTTTGGGAGAAAACTGAAAGGCATCTCTTTTGGACGAGCGCCATTCTAGACAATATCAAGCATTGGGATACATATAAAATTAACACACTGAATAAGAACATTGCACCTAGTGTGACCACTCATTATGTCCCAGAGGTCATCCCATGTCATGAAAGGTCCGCAGCAGTTTTTTTTTTAAATAACTTTTGATAGATTCAAGCTAGAGCGATAAAAACACCTCAGCTGTGTTCAGCTCGACGATACGCATCGACTGCTATGCATCATGACCTTTCCCGGTCAGGTCATGACCTTGACCTGAGGTCAAATTCTCAAAATTACCCTTCATAACGTCAACCTTTAGTTTGTTCGACGTGTCTCGACGACAGAAACGCAATGCTGGCAAACGTAATGTCGAGACTCTCTTGAGTCAAAAGTTATTGCAGGAAAACATTGTTCGTAAAAAGGCTATTTTTAGTCTTTTGCCCTCTGAAGGCTAAACCGTTGACCTGAGGTCAAATCTGAGCGCAGCTTGCAGAAACACCTTTAAAAGGGCTATCGAATGCGCTTTTCTGCGGCGCTATAGCTCTATTGGTTTCCGAGTTATGTGCCGCTGCTTCGAAAACGGAAAAATGTTGAAACAGGCAACATTTTACCTTTGATGACCTCTGGTGACCTGACATTCGACCTGACCTAAAAAATGACCGTTTTGTTTTCGTCCTGTTTTTTGACGATCTTTCGAATGCCGCTTATCGCGTGTCACTACGCGGCCCAGGAGCCGAATTAGACGAGGGAGTGTGCCCCCCCCCCTCCCCAGCAGGACACGGAAAACTCAGACCACCAGCACGGCACGGGTTAAAAGTCGTAGATGGGCACCGCTACCCTAGCAAAAGATATTAGCAAAAAGGTGACCTCCATTTACTGGTGCAGTCCTCCTCCTCCCGGTCCTTTTTCTGGAAGCGTCTCACTTATGCTGGTATGCCTCACTTCCCGGGGGCGCCCAACCTCTGCTTGGATCGCCTAATCCATTATGGAGAGACCCACTTTGCTTAAGTCGCCTCATTTCTTCCTTCTAAGAACGACCAATTTGCTGTAGGCGGCCCACTTATCTGGGACGCCCATCTTTTGCTAGAAGTGCCCCTCTTCTTCCTGATGCGTCCCACTTCTACTACGAGTGCACCTTTTCTGTTAGGGCGCCCCTTTGCTGCTGAGGAGTCTTTTCTACTGTGAATAGGGCGACCCTCTCCTGTTTGGCGACCCCAAATTCTGCTGGAGGCGCCCCACTTCTGCCCAACTCTTGGTGGGGTGCCCCTCTCTTGCAGGGGGCACTTCTCTTTTGCTGGAGACGCCACTCTTGTGGGGGCGCCCTTCCACTGCGGGGAACGTCTCTCTTCTGCCAGAGGCACCCCTTTTCTTCTTATGGGGCTCCTGTTTTTTTTTTTCTGGGGCGAGGCGACCCTCTGCTGCTCGGAACGGGGCACACCTCTCCTTTTACTGGGGCACCGCCCCTCTGCTGGGGTTGCCCTTCCGCTGTCGTCAGGGGCGCCCCTCTTGGTAGAATATACTCCTTTTCTTTTTGTAATGGGGCGCCCCTCTTCTACCGGGGGCGCCCATCTGCTGCTGGGGCGTCTGTCTTCTGCCGGATATTGTCAATGGGGCGCCCATATCCTGTTTGGCGGGCCCAACCTCTGCTGGAGGCTGCCTATTTCTGATTAACTTTTGCTGTGGCGCCTCTCTTCTGCTGGGGCGCCCCTCTTCTGCTTGGGGCGCCCGTCTCCTACTGGAGACCCCTCTCTTCTGCTGGGGCGCCCCTCTTCTGCCAGTGGCACCCATTTTCTTACTATGGGGCTCCTTTTTTTGCTGGGGCGCCCAGCTGCTGTCAGGGCGCCCCTCTTCTCGGAATGGGGGCGCCTCTCTCCTTTTGCTGGGGCGTCGCTCCTCTTCAGGGGGACACGTCTCCTGCTAAGGGTGCCCTTCCGCTGCCAGGGGCGCCCCTCTTGAACAGAACGTATTTTATATTCTTGTAACGAGACGCCCTCTTCTGCTGGGGGCGCCCATCTGCTGCTGGGGCGACTCTCATCTGCTGGGAATAGGCAATTGGGCGTCACTCTCCTGCTTGGTGAGCCCAACTTCTGCTGGAGGCGCCCTATTTCTGCTGAACCTTTGCTGTGTCGCCGCTCTTCTGCTCGGGGCGCCCTCTCTGCCGCGGGATATGGGCGCCTTTTTCGGATGGCGGGGGGGGGGGGGGCGGCCGCCCCCGTCGCCCCCCCCTGGATCCGCGCCTGATGTGGCCGACCAGGAGCTCAGCCGGTCGATGTCCGTCTGCAGAGTGGCAGCATCCTGGCGCGTCGTGATTTTCCTGAAGATTTTGGCATCGTCTGCGTAGAGTAAACATTCTGAGTCTAGATCGGAAGGGAGGTCATTGATAAAAATAGAAAATAGGATTTATATTTTTATAGGATTTATATTTAAATAGGATTCAAAGGTAATTATAGCTTTAAAATAGTAGGGAGATGCGAGATGACGTTTTCATTATCAATGCATAACTTCATTCCAGTAGCCAAATCAGTCCCTTGCAGTTCTGCATTTCTCGACCTGCCAACGGTGGCCATGGCGGCTGGTGTAAGGCCCCGGTCCGGCAGTTGGCAGTAGCGCCACCTACACTGAAGGTTGGCGGATCCCGAGGCCACGGGCCGGCCTGGCGGACGGGCCGGGGAGCGGGCGGCAGGGGGTGGGGAGGGGTATCCGGGGACGACGGGCAGCATTGCACTTTATAAACAAGGTTGGTAATAATAATTTGCCTGGAGTGTCCGCGAGCCATTATAAGGCAGGCGCGACGTTACCCAAATATAACTTGCTTTTAATTGGAGAGTTGGTAGGCAAATTAAGGCATCTGCGTGTTGCTCATTGACTAGCCCTCTGTTTTGGAATAACACCCGGTGATGATGCCCACAAGTGCAGTGCTAGCCTGCTTTTTTGTCTGTTTTAGGTATACATAGAAATTATTGAACGCCCTGCTAGCCTAAATTTGTTCGTAGGTAATTCTTACGATTTGTTTGAAGTGCCGACCTCCGAAGGAATAGTCCTTTCGAAAGCTGATACTTGCGTCCGTCCGGCTTTTATTTTAGGAAAATAACACCCATTGTATTCATAAGTATTGCTGATTTAGCAGCCAAGCAAGTTGAAATTTTCAATTTCCTTGCCTTTGTGTAGATGAAGGAGAGCAGCCACCAGCACACACGTCTAGCCGATCCCCTCACAGCCTCCACACTGCTGCCCATTGCCCAAGGGCCAAGGACCGACCGTAACATCTGTGTGCCATAAAATGGTACAACGGCGTCTTTCATCAGGCGGACCCCAATGCGAACGCCACGCGGACCGTCCGTAATCGAACGGTTGGTCCAGGACGACTGACGCAGGGCTTAGCTGATTTTGTCTGGTCTGACACAAGCTCTATAAGCATTGGTAAACCATCAATTCAATCGTTTTGCCATAAGTCTATCCCAGAAACATATACACCCTTCGCATTTGTTCGCGGCATTCGTGATTACAGCGGATCAAAAGCATGGGAACACAGCATAAACACAACCAGTCTTTTAATGGTTATTGCTGGGTCCAGATGGCAGAAAGATGGCAGAAAGTTTTTGAAGGTATAAAAGGAACACTCCCCCAAAAGCAACTCCAAAATCCAAAATATTCTGTTTCCACTTTTTGACCCTTTTTCAGCTCTTGAAAATACTTCAACTTTTATCTAACGGAACTTGAGTGTCTTTCAAAGCCAAAAAATTGTAAAGGCTGTATAAATAAGGGCTTCGTGTGCTGCTCAGCCAAAAAGTTTACAATTTGCCTGGAGACAGAGCCAGTATGCCAGCTTATACAGTTGGAGACAGCGTAGACATTTTTTTCACCTCTGCTGATGCAGCTAACGTCAACTCGGTACTTTTTCCCCTATCGTGAGCAATTGAAATGTACTCAACAGACATGTCTGAAAAACACCATTGAAGGACATTCCCCGGACCCTGGACCCGTTTGTTGTGGTACAACTGGTTCTCGTCTAAAATATGCTAAATAATGCGCAAAATATCCTGTTTTATGTAAGCACGGTTAATGCCCTTCTGATACGTTGGATGAGCCCATCAGCTTACTTTTACCGTGAGTGCTCTAGTCTTCCTGTGTCGTCAACTGTACATTAGTGATGAGTCATTTGATGATGCCTATTGTACGCGGGAGGTGAACCAGGTGTCTGCTCGTTTTTAAATCGGATGCCGTATTGTGTCGCTCGTTATATCAGGTTCATTGTGTTGTATCCAACATTTGTCCTTATTCCCAGCGCCTTTGTTTACTTCTTACTTTGCCTATGAACCGCCGCGCTGGTCTTGTTGCATGTCTTGTGCAAAATCTGATGATATAGGTATCACTGCAGAAGTGTAAAATGAGGCATGAGAACGCGTATTGGGCAAATGCATCTGAATCCACTATAACCAATATGTAACCTGAAACTAACTAGTTAATGCCCGTAACTATCTTTACCCACCTAAACCGTGTACAAATAATTAACGGTACGGGATCCTTGCTCTTCAATAATTTGTTGACAGGGCTAGGACTGTGCTCTGAAGGAAAGTAGGCAGCTTGTATAATACTGTAAGCCCATTCCCGTTTTGCAAGTATATTCCCTGTATTATATTTTCAGGCTCGCTCACTGTCTCACCACTCTTCTATTGAACCCTGTTTTTGTATACTTGCATATGGTGGATGCACGATGGCCCTCCCCGTTCAGTCTCGCTTCCTCCGGCTTTGATTTATCGCTCCTTGCGTGCCTCCCCGACCCCGGCCTCAGGTCCCCGGCCCCGGCCCCGGTCCCGGTCCCTCTAAACCCGCTGGCGTGGCGTGCAGGACTATGCCACGTGCGTGGAGGCCGGCCACGCCGAGTGTTCATACGAGCAGGGCAGTGTGCGAGAGGACTACGGCCAGCTGACAGAGTTCTTCTGCGGCATGGAGCGCGAGTGCACGTGAGTCCGTGCCCGCACAGCTGCCGTGGTTCACAGGCACCAGACACCTGATCCAGAGTTCAGGCGAGCATGCCCTGGCGCAGTCGGTGCGACTGGCGGCTGGCGAGCCTTAGCACCAGCAGAGCACTGCCCAGGGTCGTCTGCTGGCCTCAGCCAGTTGCGTGGGGTCGCACCAATCGTTAGAACTCTTCAGCTGGCCGTAACAATCAGCTGTTTCTTTTCTGCTCTCGCTTCTTTTCTTTCGCTCGCTTTTTGTGGACATAGCACTCACGTAGACAGTTTCCGAAATCAAGACAGCTCGGTGACCTACCTCCTCTCCTGTCCCGCCCCGCCCACCTCCTCCCAGCCACCCCCCGTCCTCTGTCCTCCGTCCAGCGGTCGCACTAGCGCTGCCTGGCGGGGAGTCTGTGTTTCGGCGCCGGTTCGCTTGGCGGCGCTGCGGTCGATCACCGCCACTGCTGTGGGCTCCGCAGGATTACGAACAGTGCGTGCTGAGCAACGACTGGGAGTGCCGCTACATCGAGGGCGACAAGAAGGACCGCGTGGGCGACCACCGGCGCATGACCGGCTTCTTCTGCGGCATGGAGGAGGACTGCTCGTGAGTGACGCGCCGCGACTGACATCTGGTGGCCAGTTCCGGAACTAATCCGGGGCACTCGGCAGACAGCCTTGTAACTTTTACTCGGGGATTTACAGCTAGGATTTTCGCTGCCCGGGTGTTCATTTTGTCCTGTGTAACATCTCCCGACCCCCAAAAAGTCCCTCGCCGACCCCGCACTCCGCAGACAATGGGCACAGCACAGTGCACGGTGGACACGTGTTCTGTTTTCGCTATCCAATGAGAACTTTAGTAGGTAGTCATCACACATTTTGCCAAACATGCAGAAGGCACCTTTATGTTTGCACTAAATGAGTGTTGCATGTCGTATCCTCGCTATTACAGACTCGCAACGCGCGAACCGACATCAACTGTAAGCAGTTCACCGATCATTCAGTCTAAAACCGTTTATTTGTCAGACTTCAGAGGGAAACAGCTTGTGACAGACGTTATTGCTACTTAAAGAGAATAAAACATGGCTTTAAAGCTCATGACAAAGTATTTAGAATTTCTGGTTTTCAAGAGTCCAGATTGTATTCGTCAGGCAGCTTAATCACAATGTCCCGTTTCGCCTTCGGTCCCTCGTCTGACCTCGACGCCCGCTCCGTCAGCGCCTTCAACTCGGAGGTGGCCATGCAGAAGGCCAAGCGGAACGTGGAGAAGTACTACGCCGTCGTGGGTGTGCTGGAGGAGATGAACAAGACGCTGACCGTGCTGGAGCACTACATTCCACGGTTCTTCGCCGGCGCATCAGATATCTACCAGGGTAAGTGACGAGTGATGGACTTTTGCTCCGTATATCGGGCTAAACACGACGGCTTGTTTCAAGCTAGATTGTCTTGTCGTGTGACAAAACACTGCACGTCACTGCTCGCCGTTGGTGAAATGATTTTTTATAGTTTTACTTTGCTCAGCTACTGTAATGTGCATATCTATATTGCTTCAAGCGTCCACTCCATAGTATAATAAACAGCCTCGTGCATATTACGACTTCATTATTCGTTACACCATGTCGCAAGTCACACGTTCTGACCTGATGTGCACCATTTGTTTCAGAGGAGAAAAGGCTGAGCAATGTGAACAAGAACAGCTACAAGCCGCCTGTCGCCGAATACGTCAAAGACATTGTCCGGAAAAACTTCACGCACGAGATCGAGTTTTACGAGTTCTGCAAGCAGCGGCTGCACCAGCAATATCTCGCGCTGGGCCTGCCGGAAAACTGACCGCCGCCTGCCGCCGGTCGTCACGACAACGGGTGCGCGGCGTCACGACCGGCCGGGTCAACATTCCGTGTCTGTCTGTACTGTGTGTCTGAGGCCCTTGGCGGCCGCTCCGGTTGTGATAGTGCGCGGTCAAATCGTCGACGATCTCCGCAAACTGCGCGGGAAAATGCAATCGGTCTGTGAAGACTTGACTTCCACAGACTACGAACCACCCTGGGGACTTTGTTTTTCGTATTTTATTCGTGCTCTCCTGACCTGACCGTCCTTAGGGTTGTTATTTTATGGTATTGTATTGTATTTTTACTGTATTGTGGACGGCTCGCTGGCTGTACTGAGGCCGGAGGTGACGTTCGGCGGAGGGCCGGGTCAAACTACTGCCACTGGCGTGCGCGCGCGTTCGTGGGCGATCTTCTGTCGGTCTGGTGCAGCTACTACCGAGCCGAGGGCGCCCCTGCGCGGAGGCCCCTCAGCAGCTGTGATACGGACGTGTGTGTGTATGTGTCTGGGTGTGGTGCGGAGCGCGGCGGCCACCCGCTCGAATCTCAGGCGGTGCCGGGGACCTGCGCGGCCGCGGCTCTTCCAGCGCTGTTCGCCATACGTGCGGCGCCGTCTCTGCTGCGCCGAGTCTATATGGACGGACGGGAGGCAGGGGGGAGGGGGAGGGGGCCGGCGGAGGTGACATGCCGCCCCTGTTCCTGTGACACATAATATACGGTGTAATGATGTGAGCGCCATCGTTTCGGGTTGTTAGAGCGCATGGTAGCTGATGTTTTGCTTGTTGGTAGTCTCGACACCACAGAGGCGGGTGTACACTGAACCGGTATCTTCGAAAGACGAACGAAACAAATTACGCATTTCTGGTGTATATCATGGTAAAAGCGATATGCAAGGACTTCCAGTCAAAACAAAGCGGCTGCGCCTGGATACAATAACATGGAAGACATGCACAAAGAGCCAAAACGATACTCCGTACAGAGACATTGGTTCATTCTTACTGGCCCTAGCCCTCACTGGTCGTCAATGCCCCCAGCCCCCGCAATAGCCCTCAGTGATCTAAATCACTTCTGGGTTACAATGGGAACGGCGATAATCAGATAACTCCGCCTTTGACTTATCGCGCTGGCTTCACCAAGAAGGGTCTCTGAACTGAAAACACATAACGACACCCGAAAGCTTGGTTAAAGGGACTATCCCACCTTTAACATGGGGTTTGAGTTGAGATAGCCAAGTTTGAGGCGAGGTTCAGAAACCACTATCTATCTAGGTTGCAACCCCGCGGCCTCTTGGTGTTGAAGAAATTCGTTCCCTTCATTTGAAAATGGGCCTTGTGCAAGGCCCTATCTTCAACATGGAGCGACCGTTAGTGTGACGTCACCTCGTTTGGTCATTCTGATTTAAATGGGTTTGTTCGTTGAAAAATCGCTTAAAACTTGGTCTGAACTTTGTTGTGGTGCCTACAGAGTAAAAAGAATCAGCTTCATGACAGTAATGTGGCCTGGGGAAGGAGGTAATTTTGGGCTGTGACGTCACATATTTGAAAGTTTGTGTTTGGAATATGGGAAGCCTAAGATGTTTAATGAAAAATAAATGCCAGAACCGTGTTCCTGGTCATCCAATCTATAAAGTCGGGCACAATTTAACTGGTTTTAACAACATTTTAGAAGGTGGGATAGTCCCTTTAAAGGGACCCTCCCACCTTCAAAAAGTTAATGAATTGGCATGAAAGTGATGTCGCTCGGTTCAGAAAGCGCAAAAACGAATATCTACCAAATTTCATCGAAAAATATTCACCGGTTTTAAAGATATTAGACTTTTACTTTTGTTTACTTTTTGGGATCTCCGCTGTTCCTAGCAACTTTATTTGAAAGTGCGGCATTTGTTGCGCTCAAAGCAGCATATACCACCGCGTGCTACAAAACGTTTTAGTCAAACATTTAACTGACGTTCGAAAGCCTGATGACGTCATCAGATTCCCGTAATGGTTAAGAGATAGGGACCACGCTGGTCCCACCCTGCAAGTAAAGGGAAGAAATTTCTTGAACACCATAAAGCTGCGGGGGTTGCGACCAGGATAAATGGTGGTTTCTGAGCCTGGCCGCAATTTTGGCTATCTCAACTCAAAACTAATGTTAAGGTGGGAGGGTCCCTTTAACGCGTCTTGGTCCCCGATTGCGTTTAACAGTCGTAGGTATTGACCTACAGGGGTGCAAATGCCAGGCAGTGTCCCTGCTCGACTTGGCGACTTTTATAAACTTGGGATGAGCAGCACCGGACTTTTCATTCACTGAAGATCTCAGGCATGGAGACCAATGTGTCCCTCCGTGCCTTTCATATCCGTTTCAGCGAACTGCATCATCGGATGCTCCGATTTCTGGAACAGAAATGCAAAATGTTAGTATCTGCATCTCTTGAAAAATTCACAACATTACAGCAAGAATTCGACGACACTTCACTACGTACGAATTGTGCTTGTCTATTTCAAACAGCCTGCGGTTACAAGGGTTACGACGTTCAATATTTTCTCAGAGGATTTCTACCGCCCAGATAAATAGCATTGCTGTTAAACGCACATTGTTTTCCAGCTTGCAAAAGCAAATAAGAAACCATCAAAGTTGGACAAGAATCACAGCTTACCAGCCAAGTGGACGGTTCATGGTACCATATCAAATAATAGTTAGCTTCAAGTTCATGTGGGTAGCGCTGTATCGGCGAGCTGACAGAGTCCCTAACATACGCACCCGTCCCTAACTACCACTGACCTTCAGACAGGTGAGTGTCTGCAGGTCACACTGAGTGCCCTCGGGACAGCAGTGCACCTTGTCCGAGCAGCAGACGGCGCGCGCGTACGGACAGCAGCCCCAGCGGTGGTCAGCCAGCGGACAGCACGTGGCGCCCGCCGGACACCGGCTCTTGCCGTCCGGACACAGGCCCGGCTCCGGCGGCTGCTTCACGCATCGGCTGGTCGACAGGTCGCACGTGAAACCTGCGCAGTGAGGTCAGGTCAATGTCAGGTCACACGTGAATCCCAAGCAGGTCAAGTCAGGTCAGGTCAGAACCCTGCGCAGAACCCTGCACAGAAAGGTCGGGTCAGGTCACACGTGAACCCTGCCCAGAAAGGTCAAAGCAGGTCGCACGTGAACCCTGTGCAGGAAGGTCAGGCCAATGTCAGGTCACACGAGAATCCCAAGCAGGTCAAGTCAAGTCAGGTCACACGTGAACCCTGCGCACGAAGGTCAGGTCACACGTGAACCCTGCGCAGTGAGGTCAGGTCAGGTCACACGTGAACCTTGCGCAAGAAGATCAGGTCAGGTCACCGGTTGGTGGTCGGAGCAGTGGTGAATTGCAGGTAGGTCAGGTCAGGTCGATACCAGGTCGTCGGTAGGTGGTCAAGCTACACGTGAACCCTGTGAAGATCAGGTCACATGTGAACTGAGCGCCGATGGGATCACGTCAACTGACTAGGTCGGGTCAACGGTGGGGACATAACCAGCTGCCAGTCAGCTCAGGTCCAGTAAACCCTGCAAACGTTGCCTGACTGTGCATTCTTTCTTAGAAAGGAATGTATGCTTTTACATGCGTATGCGTGCGTGAGGTATTGTGAGCTGAGTTAGTGATTGCTTGTCCTACACCATCATTGTCGCCGTTTTATTGATTGACGTGAAAGAGCCTCGTTTTGCGTGGATCTTTTTCTAATAAACTGAGTAAACGTCTGGTAACTTCGTTTGTGCGACTGCGCACTGAGCGGTGACGTGTGCCGTGGGTACGCGTATGTGTCGTACCCACCTTCTCGGCAGCAGTGCCGCCCGTCGCCGCAGCAGACGCCGTTCCGATAGGGACAGCAGATGAAGGGCTGCTGGGGAGAGTCGGTACGGCAGCAGACGCTGGGCTCCGGGCAGGCCAGCTCTCCGCCGGGGCACCGGTCGGCCAGCGCTGGCACCAGAGGCACCAGCAGCACCAGCAGCGGCACCAGCGCCGTACCGAGCCGAGCCATGGCTGTTGTCGGCACTACCGGCCGTCCGTCTGCTGACTGCAGGGGACAGACAGCTGATATACATAGGTACGAGCTCCGTCCCCACAACATGGCGCAACCACCCGGGCCGGGTTAGGGGACCTGCCCTGCCCTTGAGACGGTCAACATGATGCGGCAATGAGGGCCTCTCGATACCAGCTGCATTCCGGTGACACTGACATGAGACACTTACACCTGCCAGAGACGAGACGCGTCCGAACTCGTTTTGTTTGTAGAGAAACACGAGGTTTATAGTGTCCCAATTAACAGCACTGAATTACAAAGGAATGTCTACATTAATTTAGGTATGATTCACAGTTCCCAAGAATCTCGGACCAATGAATTAAGCATAACGCATGTATATCGTGCCGACCCTTTAAACCAGAAGAGTAAAATATAAATGCATTGGGCTCAAAGCAAACTAAGTCGTTTATAACGCCTTGTGAGACCATCTACATACAGGGTAAATTACGAGCTAAAGACGTTCACAACAGATATCACAAATGATTATCTCTAAAGACGGCGCCATAAAGGAAGGTTGACAGCAGACAACATGTACTGTAATTTGATTAGAATAAAAACACGGTCGCTTATTGCGTCCCCACCTCACCGAGAGCTAAATCCTCACTCCCGTCCTGTCCCCAACGGCTGTCCTCTTCAGAAGTGCAGCGGCCCTTGCAGACTTCTGACGCAGCGGTGACCGGCCCAAAACGACACGAGCGTAGCGCTTCTGAGGCCCGCGGCTGGCGCAGCTCGAGCCCGGCACGACCCCGACAGCCTTCTGATCCGGGGGTGACTCTGGTCCCGTTTAAAACCGATCCGGTGGTGGTGTCTGCAACTGGAGAAGGAATCCCCGCCCTCCCCCGCGCCCCGGCGGCCCGGGCCGGCGGTATTGGGAGAATAGGAAGCGCGTCCGGCGGTGGAAGTTCGAGAACGGCGTGTGTCACCGTCAACACCCGCCCTACCAGTCGCCAGTACAGCACCGTCGGACGAACCCGTCCCAACACATGGACCCGTATCGACACACGGATATGGCCGTCTCGACAGACGGAACCGTCCCGTCGGACAGACAGAACCGCCCAGACTCGGAGCTCCGTCAGCGGCGATAGGCGTCGATCGTCGGTTGTCCGTTCGCTATCGGATCCGATTACTGCAGTGTGGTTGTCGCACTAGGGACTGTACTCTGGGTATCATGTGCCCGGGAATCATGTAACCGATGGCACGAGAAGGAGACACCGCTCCCCGCGCGGCATTGTCGAATCGTTGAGTCGGAGTCGAATTCACTATCATATGTGACTGTAATAAGCCACTATCAGAATCGCGCATTGTAGGTAGGCTGTCGCTGATGCCACAAGTTCATAAAAGTACCGCCGCTCCAATTAAATAACTTAATTCAAACTGCTCCGCTACCCATGATCTGGTGACCAGGAGAGCCTGCACCCAAATCCAGCGACCAGCAAAACCTTACGCTAACACTTACAAAAGTAAACAAATAAATCGCGGCACTCTCGTCTCTCTGCTAAGGAAAATACTTTAACTTTAAAAAATGCAGTCCGTAGGTATAACACAAGTGCCACACTCAATATGTCAATATACCTACTACTTATGTGCAGATATTGTAAATGCGGGACGGCTGACGCTGAGAGCCATCAGACAATTCAGCTATGGCAATGCCGCCATCTCACTGACGGTGACTCATCGCGACGAGCATCAACCTCATGTTGATCAACAAGGACGAAGCTGACTAGTTTAGACACGCCGGTCGCGGAGCCGCTGACGAAAAGTACGCTCCACGGGCCCTCATTCGAGCGTCACGTTGGCACTCTGCCAGGCAGGCAAGACGTTGTTTCTATATGCCTACTCTGGGGAGGACCGCCGAGGGCTAATACGCATGACGCCATATACGATGAAGACATTCAGCTGCCTGCACTCTGGTGATCGGGGAACTGTCCTTTCACATACCACAGGATATAAAGACGGCATTGTACTTACCAGCCACGCCACTACTCCCTATATCGCCACCAGTTGCCCGCTAACCCGGCGTATTCTCTTCACACGCGGGAACTCCCCAGTCCCACGCGTTCCTCAGGCGCGCGCGCGGCTTGGAGCTATGCGGCACAGCATATGCGTCAGGCGTTAATCACTGGTGCCATCTAGGGGAGACGAATAAAATTAGGCGAGAAAAGAAGAATAAGAACGTTATGACAAATAGGTATTACCTCAAATGAATCAGGGTCATCTGTCGGTAAGGGCCAGTGGCCACTAATTATCTCCTACCCCTGAATACAGCAGGGAGAGAGGGCGAGCCGAGCGTCCTTCTCGTTATTTAATAGGTTATCGAGATCAGCGTTGCTTTTTACGATACCGAAGTACTTACCTACTCTGCCCACTTATTAGGCATAAGTCATAACTGCATAATTCAAGAATCAGAAATGCAATACAAAACTGCTACCTTTACATTAACTTATTAAAACTGCATCAGTACTTAGTTATATCGAGCTCAAACGCAACGAACAAGAACTGTCAATGAATAAGGTGTCAAATCAGTCAAAAGCACAGTCCTATGGATTGAAGCAGAAGCCAGAAGTCCTCAGTTTTCTTTCTTCGGTTAAGAGAGGTGCATATTCGAAAGAATTCATAATGAAATAAACGTATGCGTTTCCGTCAGTAAAACCTTAGATCCTGACCGCATGCCCTGTACAGGGATGCATGGTACGGTACCCATAATCCCATTTCGATGGGTAAAGCTTTATGGCTCACCCTGTATATACCCACTGACCCTGGCTGTCGTAACTGGATTGGTCCGGCAGCAGTACCGACTAGCTTTAGATTGTAGAGAATCCCTGTGTCTGTCAGTGTGCCTGTCTGCATGCAATGTGCTTGTGCATACATCGCATATATGTGCGTGAATCTCTGTGTGTCTGTCTGTGTGTCTGTCTGTCTGTGTGTATATCTGTGTGTGAATCTTTGTCTGTCTGTCTGTTCTGTCTGTCTGTTCTGTCTGTCTGTCTGTCTGTCTGTCTGTCTGTCTGTCTGTCTGTCTGTCTGTCTGTCTGTCTGTCTGTCTGTCTGTCTGTCTGTCTGTCTGTCTGTCTGTCTGTCTGTCTGTCTGCCTGTCTGTGTGTATGTCTATGTGTGAATCTCTGTATGTCTGTATGTCTGTCTGTGTGTGTGTGTGAGGACCGGCCGGGTCCACCACAGCTGTGGGTGGAGACGTGCCTACAGCTGCAGCCGCCGCTGCGCGCCCGGCTCGGCTCTCTGAGGCCGCGCCAGTCGCGCGCCGCCCGGTCAGCCCGCCCAGGATGGACGCCGCCCTGGCTGCGCTCGGCCTGCTGCTCGTCGTCGCCGTCGTCGCAGCCTGTATGATCGCCGACTGTCTGGTGGAGGAGTGTCGCAGCCGCGGACAGGAGGTCTACAGCGTCTGCTGACCGGCTGAGCAGCTGACCTGCTGACGGGCTGACCTGCTGACCGCCGCCCTGCTGACCGCCGCCCTGCTGACCGACTGCTGGCTGGCTCAGTGCCACCGCTGACCGCCTTGCTGACCGCCTGGCTGCGCTCTGCTGACCGGCTGCTGAACAGAAACATCGCCTGACCGAGCTGAGATATTGTTGAAGCGAAAAGTGTTTGATCACCTACCCTACATGCTGAGCTGCGGTCGTTTAACGGAAACGGTGTAAAAGCACTGAATACCGCAGCGTGATTTGAGTCGGTGACGTTTGCTGAGGCTCGGAGGCTGCATATCGCAGAAATTGTGGTTGTTTGTTGTTGACAAGCGTCCTTTCTGTAAGTCCGTTCGTGAACTCCACTGCTCAGCGAGTCAGATTGAAAGTAGAGAGCTAAAGCCAAGGCTAAGGCCGGTGTCAGAAGCTGCCAGGCTAGAATATTCATCTGACTAACAATTTTACTGTTGCTTACTTCAAACGAAGACAAGGAAGTGCCCGCAAGACTGTTGCTACCCACGGTGCATCTCAGGGCATAAACACCGAGTGTGTTGACGGCATCGGTGTCTGCGAGTGGAGGCATCACCACTGCGAGTGTTGATGTAAACTCTGCGAGTGTTGGTGTAAAACTGCGAGTGTTAGTGTCAACTCTACAGGGTGACAGTGACGGTTCCACGTGGTGAAACGCGGGTAAAGTAATAATCGTATACGCCATTTCCAATCAACTGTGTCTGTCTAAGACCTTATGATGCGAATGTAAACAACTTGACAATGAAGGTGTAAAAGCTTTTAGGAAACAGAGCGGGAGCTGACGGCAAAATTACATGCAGCGTGCTTGGTGAAAAGTGTGTGACATGGCTCCTAAAAAGGGTGTCTTGGCCAGTCTATACAGCCGATTTCGTGGACCCATCGAACAAGCGGAGGAGGCTATCATCAAAAAGTGGATCTGCTGGATTCTCAAGTAAGTTTGGCCTGCATCTATTGATTATCACAAATTGAGCATGACTCCGTCGTTATGATACAACGTGGCGCCGAAAACTGAGAGATGTCGCATAAATGCATATAATTCCACAACACTACAACTCTGACTGGAATACTGTACCGCACTAGATCTCTGGTATACTGTACCGCACTACATCCCTGACTGGTATACTGTACCGCACTACATCCCTGACTGGTATACTGTACCGCACTACAATCTACATCACTGACTGGTAAGTGGTTAACTAATAACTGTACCGCACTACATCCCTAACTTTTATAGTGTACTGCACTACATCAATGACCCAATTATTAATTAGCCCGCGCACCGACGGGTATCCGCGCCAACTTTGCACTGACGCGACGGGGCGGGGGGGGGGGGCGGATAACCGCACCCTGATATCTCGAGAACGAAGCAAGATATAGCGCGACAAGCAGTAAACGACATAAGATATGGACGGACAAGGTATACAATTTTTACTGATGTCATTTTAAGGTCAGGTCAAAGATAACGTCACAGGGGTCAAAAGGCGAAATAGCGGCGCGAGATAAGAAGCGTTTTCTCGAATAACTTTCGAAGTAGCAAAGCTAAGAGCAAACTAATAGCACCATCGTAACCCTCTCGTCAATCCGCATCGAAACATATAAGCTGACCTCGGAAGGTCAAGGTCAAAAGTTAGCCTCAGGTCACGTGACCTCAACACTCAAGGTTATCATGTATATCATTCGATGCGCCTTGACGAGCTGAACTCAATGAGACCATCCGCGCGACTGTATCTCGTTGCTGGAAAGAGTTATTAGCAAAAAACCTTTGGTGACCTTTGATGACATCACATGAAGTTTCAGTTGCCAGACAGCAAAAAGACCTCAACAATCAACATAGTCAAGGTTTGATCGTAGGTATATGAAGTCATTTATAGCATATTGGGCCATTCTGACGCGTTTCAGTGAAAAAAAATCAGGCAGTTGGTTTTTCCCCATTGCCGTATATTGAAGAGGTCAAGAAATTGACCTGACTAGGTCATCGATTTCAAAATTCCGAGAAAAAAAATTGTAGCTAACAATAGCCTCATTACATCCTGCAGCTTTCAAAGGACTCTGCCATCTACTGTAGCTCTAACACGGTGGCAAAGTTGCAAAAAAGTGATTTGAGGTCGGGTCATTCGAAGTGTCCTGGTGACCTGATCTTAACCCGCGCACCGACGGGGGTCTGCGCCAACTTAGTACCGACGGGGGGGCGGATGACCGCCCCCCCCCCTGAGATCTCGAGAACGAAGCAAGATAGCGACAAGCGGTAAACGGCATCGGATACGCACGGTCAAGATCTACAATTTTTACTAAGGTCATTTTCAGGTCAGGTCAAAGATGACGTCACAGGGGTCGAAAAAGTCAAAATGGCGGCGCTAAATATGGAGAGAGTTTTTCTCGAATAACTTTCGAATTAGTCAAGATAGGAACAAACTAAGGGCATCATCGTGATCCTATCGTCAATCCGCATCGAATGATTATATGTTGACCTCGAAAGGTCAAGGTCAAAGGTTGACCTCAGGTCACGTGACCTCGAGGTCATCATGTACCTATATCATTCGATGCGTCTTGACGAGCTGAACACAATGAGACCATCCACGCGTCTGTATCTTGTTCCTGTACGGAGTTATTGGCCAAAAACCTTTGGTGACCTTTGATGACGTCACATGACCTCACAGCTGCCCAACAGCAAAACAGACCTCAAGGTAGTGAAGGTTGATCGTATATGAAGTCATGTATGGTATATGGGGCCATTCCGACCCGTTTTAGTGGTAAAAACAGGGAGTTGATTTTTCCCCCATTGACTTATAATGGGGAGGTCGCGAAATTGACCTGACCTTAGGTCACCGATATCAAAATTCCGAGATATACAAATTGTAGCTACTAATGACCTGATAACATCCTGCGACTTTCAAAGGCCTCCGACATCTACTGTAGCTCTGGCACGGTGACAAAGTTGCAAAAAAGTGACTTGAGGTTGGGTCATTCAAAGTGACCTGGTGACCTGACCTTGAAAGGTAGGAGGTTCAAACTTGCACACCATGTGTAAAATTGATAAGGGAATAGTCATACCAAATTTCGCGGCGCTACGCGCCGCGGTTTTCCCGCTATTCGCGAAAAACCTCAGGGGGGGCGGATATCCGCCCCCCCGTCGGTGCGCGGGTTAACCAGCGCACCGACGGGGGGGGGCGGTTGACCGCCACCCCCTGAGGTTTTTCGTGAATAACGCAAAAAAAAAACGCGCCGTGTAGCGCCGCCAAATTTGGCATGACTTGTCCCTCGTCAATTTTACACATGGTGTGCAAGTTTGAACCTCCTACCTTTTAGGGTCAGGTCACCAGGTCACGTCGAATGACCCAACCTCAAATCACTTTTTTGCAACTTTGTCACCGTGTCAGAGCTACAGTAGATGACGGAGGCCTTTGAAAGTCTCAGGATGTAACGAGGTCATAAGTAGCCACAATTTGTTTATCTCGGAATTTTGATATTGATGACCTAAGGTCAGGTCAATTTCTTGACCCCCCCATTATAAGTCAATGGCTGAAAAATCAACTCCCTGCTTTTTCACTAAAACGCGTCGGAATGGCCCAATATACCATGAATGACTTCAGATACGATCAACCTTGACTACCTTGAGGCCTGTTTTGCTGTTGGGCAACTGTAAGGTCATGTGACGTCACCAAGGGTCACCAAAGGTTTTTTGCTAATAACTCCTCGCAGGAACGAGATGCAGCCGCACGGATGGTCTCATCGTGTTCAGCTCGTTAATGCGCATCGAATTATACAGGATGACCTTACGGTCACGTGACCAGAGGTCAACCTTTGACCTTTCTTTCGAGGTCAACACATATATCATTTGATGCGGATTGACGAGAGGGTCACGATGGTGCCCTTAGCTTGTTCCTAGCTCGGCTACTTCGAAAGTTACTCGAGGAAAACTCTCCTGATCTAGGGCGGCCATTTGACTTTTTTACCCCTGTGACGTCATCTTTGACTTGACATGAAAATGACCTGGGTAAAAATTGAAGACCTTGTCCGTGCGTACCCCATGCCGTTTACTGATTGTCTCTATCTTGCTTCGTTCTCGATATCTCGGGGGGGGGGCGGTCAACCGCCACCCCCCCCCTCGGTTCTAAGCTGGCGCAGACCCCCGTCGGTGCGCGGGTTAAAAGGTAGGAGGTTCAAACTTGCACACCATGTGTAAAATTGATGAGCGAATAGTCATCCCAATTTCGCCGTGGTTTTCCCGCTATTTACGAAAAACCTCAGGGGGCGGGGGGCGGATATCCGCCCCCTGTCGGTGTGCGAGTTAACCCTCGCCGGCCGAGGGGGGGGGGCGGATGCCGCCCCCCCCCATAGGGTTTTTCGCGATAGCTCCGAACACGCTGGCGATAGAGAACTGAAACATGGCATACCTGACCTTTGATTCAAGCCGAATCGTTTGACACCAACCGCATTTTGGGGTCAGGTCAGGTCACTGACCTATGACGTCATAAGTGAACCTCTGCACGGTCTTCAGATGTCGCAACTTCGCAACGCCCTCACTGCCAAGTGCCAGAGGAGATGTCACAGGGAAATGAAACTTGCAGGATCTAGTATCCATTATGAGTCTCACAACTTGTATATCTCGGATTTTTCCTAAAGGTCATATGAGGTCAGGTCATTTTCGTGACCTCACCATTATAAGTCAATGGGGAAAAATGAAAACTGCTATTCTGGCGCCGGGAACGATCTCCAACTATCTCAAGCACACAGAATCGTGATTTGATGCACTCCTTGCAAGGTTAGATGCGTCACTTTCGCAATGTTGACCTTGCGTGACGTCATTTATGACGTCATCAATGTCATATTAGTTTTTCGTCAATAACTCTTGATCAAATTGAGCTAGCGAGTCGGGAAAGCCACCAATGGACTCAGGAAGACCTGCTGAATCCAATGATATGCGACATGACCTCTTTCGATCAACTTCGTGACCTGGGGGTGCTGACCTGACCTTGACCTGAGGTCAACACCCTAAGTTGACCTGACCCGAACAAAGAGTATATCATTCGACGCGCCTGATCGAGGCGAACACGATGCTGCCAAAACCACGGCTCTGCGGCCGTTTTTTGCGAAGTTATTCACCAAAAACTGAACCGTACCTTGGGGCACTTGACCTGACCTCAGAGGTCACCAGTTGACCTAGGACCTTAAAATCGGGTACCAATCTCTGCGTCTCGTAACGGCGCACACGCTCGTTTTTTTTCCGCGACGCGCTAGCTCCACCAGGGGCGAAACGGCGAGGGGGGGTCGTACCCGCCCCCCCCCCCTCGGCCGGCACGTATGTAGAAAACCGATAGGTCCGGCGAGGGTTAACATACGAGTTATGTACCTATATGTTTGATGTTTCATGTTCGTACATATATTCAATTAATAGAGAAAATCGAGAGCAAGTCCACTCTCGATATCGCAAAGACTTTCGTAAAGTCCGATTGTAAAAGAACAACTATAACCAGATGAAGTAGTTTCGAAAGTTTCACATACATGGGAAATCGTCAAGGATCTTATTGGTGAGGTAACATCAAGACGTCATTAATTAATTAATTTTCCGGGCAATGATTTAAGTACGGAATCCAAAGCCTCTGTCATCTGGAAGCATTTGCTAATGATTTATGATATCTTTTTAACTAGTTATCATGCCGGTGAATAACCCTTTCAGACTCCTTCGTTAAAAAAAGTCCGTCACTCACCAAGAGACGTTTCGCGAGATCCATTTTTAATCACTACCCGCGGGGAAGCACTGCTGCCGACTGCGCACAGCGCACGCACAATGTGCGTGACAAGTGAAGGGTGGGAGAGGCAGACTGCGACACTTCACAGACGCTCCGCGTGAGACGGTGGGGCTAAACACCGCCGTGCCAACAGAGTGGACACTTTTGCTCACTTGATATTGTATTCACCTAACGAGTTGGGTAGTACGTTTATCTGGCCTTTAAAACAGAATGCGCACACAAATCACCGAGGCATATTGCCCGATATGCAGCTTTCCGTGAACGATACGCCTTCGTTCCTTTTGCGGTCGAAACGTCTGGTGTCCTGGGTACGGCGGCCGCCGGTCTCATAAAGGAGCTTGGCCGTCGGCTGATGCAGCCCGCAGCAGCGATCAGCGCGAAACAGTCTGGCTCTCACAGCGGACATTGGTCGGGAGGAGCGGAAACGACGCTGGATTTCCAACCAAACAATTACATTCGGGAGTAGGAAAGTAGGTAGTTGGTAATTGACTAAGCCCGTAACGAGAAACTCGACTACCGTGGGCGTGAAAGTATTCGAAGGCTTAGGGCACCGCCTTCGTCACTGTGAGGGGGTCGCGGGGGTTAGGGTCTCCGCAGTTCAGTGATGCTACTCGCTAAATTCACCATGTGTGAGTTTTAGACCAGGACTAACAGATTTCCCGGTTACGCCCCGCTATAGTATCAACTTGAAAGACTGGCGTCAAACATGTGCGAACTGCTTTCATATGTGCTGATCCCTGTCATTGATAAGCAAGCTCGGCAGCGCAGCCTGGGGCCGGCGGGTGGCTCGTGTGCCGGTTCCGCCTCCGTCGTCACACACAGGTGTTGGTGCGGCGTCACCGCTCGGCGCGACACAAGTGTTCCTCGTCCTTCTGTCCGGAGAGGCGGCAGTCGAGACTGGCGGCGCACGGACGGCGGCCCAGACCTGTGAGCGAGTGGAGGGCGGCTGTCGAGCTCTGGCCCTGGAGGGCTATCTGTAGCCGTGTTGGAGATCAGCGAACACACAAAATCCGTGGTTTGAGTGGACGTCGATTTGAGTTGTCTGAACGGACAGCGAGGGTGCAGTGATTCTTCACCTACTTGCGACAGGAGAGGTTCGATCAAGTCGGTCCGGGACTCCGGGCCACTCCAGTAGATCTCTGTAGGGTGAGCCGCTCCCTTCCCCCGTCTACCATCCGAGAGCGGTGTCACGGCAGACAGGCGGCCAGTCATGGCGCTGAGGAAGCAGGCCGGAGCGGCCGCCGGGCTCGCGCTGCTCATCAAAACCGGCGTGGAAGACATGGAGGAGAAGGCCGTCAGGAAGTGGCTCTCCTGGATCCTCAGGTGCGGCTGGAGTCTGGAGTCGGACGGACGCCCGGGTCTGCCATTCAGAGCGGCCATTTCAGTTCGCCACTGGAGGCAGTGTTGCAGTGCCGATTGCCGAAAACGAATATCCTATAGTCTATACCGGACATCCAGTGCATTGCACCGGATCCTTCGTTACATTATGATCAATGCATAGGCTGGTTCCTCGTGTAACTCTGAATCCTTGGATGAATCGCAATCAGTTATTGATTTTGAAAGGGTCACATCACATTTCATAAGGGTGTTACACATGTGTGGGCAACACTTGATTCAACATCGTTTTACACAGCTTGAAGAATGCTTCAGTAGGCAGTTTGACACAAGCGAGCCCACCTGTACAAAAACATGTATATGCGAATGACGGCGGCACGACTGTGCTGAGAGCTAGACACTTCCCAACGAGAATGCAGTTGGCTGGGTAGTGGACGCTGAAGTGGATAAACATTGTGATTATAAGTGTAGTACTCCCGTCAGCTTGAATTTTCAGATCTGCGCTTATGTCACACATCTATTCCGTTGCAGGCGGCACGTGCAGGGCAACAAGGGGCGGGCGAAGACGTCGGACGCCAACCGGTTCGTCGACAACGCTATGGAGTTTGCGCGCAGCCTGATCAAGAGCGAGGGCCTGGACCCGCTCAAAGTGGCCGACGACGAGACACTGTTCGAGGAAAAGGTAGGCGGCACGCTGCTGAAGAGCGAAAGGTTTACGGCCCAGACTGGCGACGTGAGGCGAGACAAAGGATGGAATAGATAAAGCTCCAAAGAACCAAACGAAAACTTTAAAAGTAATACCGTAAAGTGGGGCTATTTGAGACAGTGGGGCTATTTGAGACAGTAATTAAAATCGCTATAAAATGAAGACCGTTTGATTTTTATGTGATATTTTTGCTCAGGAAGGTGTGGAATCGAGCAGTAAATCGCCTGAGCAAAAATTAGGCATACATTTCAAACGGTTTTTATTTTATAACGATTTTAAATACTGTCTCAAATAGCCCCACTGTCTCAAATAGCCCCACCTTACGGTACGTGTATATCGTGGAGACTGGAGATAGGGTCGAAGGCTAACAATTGTAATCGCCGTGACTCTTTTGAGCGTCCGTTGTCCATGCCATCAACCTTCTCCCGGTGGTATTTGAACGTTCGGTCGCCCTTTTCTGACGTGTTCGGGGACCCGTTTCAGCTGTTTTTCATCCGTTTGTCGGCGTCAGTGACGTTCCTGGCCACCTCTCTGAAGGGCATGTCGACCCTGCGGCGGAAGGGTGACGCCATCCTGGAGCTGGACGGCGACTGGCTCACACTGCAGACCCAGCTCGCCACCACCAAAATCGAGGTGCGCACACTCGCAGTGAATTGATCCTCGTTAGACTGAGCCATTTTCAACATAATTACGCTTCATGCAACATCCAACATTCGCTGATCTACCCCTGATTACCTAGAGCTTCGCGGATAAACAAGTGTGCTAGCTAACTATAACGGGAGCGACTGTGAACACATTTTAATATTTTCAGTCAAGTAATGATCTCAAAGCCCACGTCAGCGACTTACGGGCCAGGTGTTTGACTTTTCGTTCATAGCTCCTACAATAATTATTGCTGATCGAAATTTTGAAAATACAGTCACATTTGCGGTGAATAATCTTATGTTCTAAAATTTCCAGCTGGATTTTGCCCGTCCCACTTCGTGCACTTAACAGCCTCGTTTGTCCGCCAGTGTAACACAAACTGCACGGCCAAGTTCATGGACCTGGGTCCCAACTTTGACCTGACCGTGGACGTGGACGCCGTCACGGTGAAGATGAAGGCGCGCATCAACACGAGCACCATGCAGATCGTCATTCCCTCCTTCGAGGTCGTCCATGTCGGGTGAGCGAATCTTGAGGATGTCCTTCCAATATCACAGAGACATTTACGCTGGCTTTGCTCAGTGCCCACTCCCCAGAGACATTGACCCGACCCTCCCCCTCTCTTCCCACAGAGACATCGACGCCGAGGCGGACGGCCTGTTTCCAATCGACTCACTGCTGGCTGCCATCAGCGAGCTCTTCATCAAACGCTGCAAGGACTCGATCGTCAAGGTGTTCGAGTTCGAGGCGCAGTGCCAGCTGGAGGCGGCGCTGAAACGGCTCGACTTCACGCAGATCGTGCGCTCCTATGGCAGAAAGTACTTCAAGGACGCCGCACAACACGTCGGAGTGCCCGGACTGAGCTGAGGGGCGCTGGATATATGGGGGGGGGGGGGCACGACTGAGCTGAGGGACGCTGGGAAGGTGGTGAGAGGCAAGGGGATATGCAAGGCTGGCCCGAGAGCCACCAAGAGGCGAGAGAAGGGGCAGGACTCAGCTGACGAGCCCACGAGCCGCGGAAGTGTGTTAGACGACAGAGCTGCTATGGGCAGGTTCCCAGTGGGCCAGAGAGCGGTTCTGCAGCGAGGTAAGCATTTGTAGAAGACGGTGACGATTGTGTCGTGCGCATGACGTGTGTGAAGCGAAGAGAGGTTTCCAAGTGAGCCAAAGACGGTATCAATGAGCAAATGACAACCATTGATGCGCCGTCTATACGGTTATATAGGTGTAATGCGATATGCTGAGCATGAGGATATTGTACTGTGTTCCATAAAAGTGCGACCGGTGACTGACTTTACCAGCTGTCAACAAGTAGATAGCTGTGGATCCCGTGAACAAACATGTATGAATTTATCTATATATGAGGCGTCCAGCTAAATATAAGGAACTCGGGCAACACAAGCGCGAAACAAGACGGACCTCACTGTGGAAAGGTCATGACGCGAGCAACTGAACTGGTCATTCACCAGCCAGTTGACGTGTAAATGTGTCGAGAGAGAGCTTGAATCCGCGATCTGTGCGCTGCTAAGTACTATGGTGACCAGTGACAAACTAGGCTGTTGAAAACAGCTAGGCGGAAATGGCCACGAAAGGATGTACCGACCCTTCGAGACATCCGCGTTCCTGCGAACTCGGGCGCAAAACAGAACAGAAGCATGGACGGTCTATCGGCGCTATGAACTGGGCCAAACATCCACGCAACAAACAGGGAGCCGAGCGGCGCCATCCGGCTGCCTCTCTGTTACCACGCGCGGTGCCGGGAGCGGGTCCCGCCGGCGACCCGCTCGGTGCGGCGGCACGGACCGGGGAGTTCCCGCAGACTGCCGACCCGGCCCGGCGACTCGTGACATCCTGTCGGGCAGCCGGCGCCAGACCGTGCCAGCCGCCCGCCGCCCGAGGGGGCCCCGCCGGGACTCAGGGTATATCCGGGACTGAGGAAATTCGGGGGTCGTGAACCGGCTGAATCTGGATTCGAAGGCCGAGTGAACGTGACGGAAAACTAGCGCCGGGTGGTGTACTACGCTGTGATGTATTTAACGGAGCCGGATCGTGCGTAGCTGGAGTTTGGCTGGAGGTCACCGAATCCATGCGTGGTAGATTCCTGCTTCCAGCCATTAACAATTAAATGCAGATGAAATCTCCCGCTTTGTGCCTTCTGAATCTCTGATAAATAAATGATAAACCCAGGAGGAAACGACAATTCAGTATGACTTACTTATTTCAGCCACGTAAAACTCCCGAAATGTAACCTAATTATTGAGCTTAGAAAAGCGTAAACTCTCAGTCTCGACCATGTATTGCACTTTCCCTATGTAAACCATCACGTACCAAACGTCTTTAAAGACACATTATTACACAACAATATAGGTACACTAATAATCACACGAGTCTTCTGGCCACTTATTTCACAACCAGCACCGCCTAACGT